CCTCGGGGTAACGGCTCGACGCTCGGACGGCTCGGCCGCCTCCCACTGCCCAACGTCTCGACTCTTTTTCGTCTCTCCCTCTTCTNCCCCCCCCTTTTTCTGTGGCTCCTCGAAGTTTTCCGCTCCCATGCTGTCCCCTCCCCCTGCACTCCCAGGCTTGGCGCTCGCCATCCGCTTACGGTCCAGGGGTTTTAGGGTTTTGCCATAGGTCGCCAGCTCCTTCAAATCCTGGTAGTCCTTCCGGCGCATTCTCGACAGGCCGCCGGCCGAGCCTCCCTTGCTCTGGCCTGGCGAAGGTGAAGTGCTCGGCCGTCGGAAGCCCCCGCCAGCCCTTCCAGAAGGCCCGGCAGGACCAGCATTTGACTGTTGATTGCTTTGACGGGGTCCTTCTAAACCCCCCTGCTCAGAAATGTCTACCAGACCTGCTGTGTAGGGCCGGAGAATGGGGCTCTGTCTCTGAGGTCTCAAGGGAGAGTGAGGGCGAGTTTCGGCTTCCTTTGGTTCGGGAGCGGTCTGAGGGCGTCCCTCGCGATCGTCTGGGCTGCCATCGTCAGCCATGTTGGACCAAAACGTAGGGGGCGAATCCTAGGTGTTTGGAAGTGCTCAATACAGGATATGAGGATTTCAGCTCAAGGACTTCTGCCGAACTTAGCAGCAATCCGTATTGGAGGAACTGCTTAACTCAATGCTTGACAATACAATGAGGAGCCAAGGCAGCATGAATCTGGTCCAAGAGAGGCGAGAAGTTTGCCGAAGGGCCTGGGCTTCAGCCTTCAGACTGTACAAGATGCCCCCTTTTTGCTCCTCATATGCCTGCGATCGAGGCCCTCTTTGCGGAGATGCATCAGAAGGCCTCCGTCTCCGCCGTAACCCTAAAACATCACGAAACCCTAATGCTGAGTTACCCTTTCAAATACAATCCAGTGCAGGCCTTGAGCAATCGATCTCCTACAAGCGAGGAAGTTATTCTCCAGATTCCTTTTCGCATGCCCCTTTTCAGTCCTATGCACTCCCTCTAGCGCAATCTTTTTTTGAAATCTTTTTGTCGACCTTTTTTCCACTGTCGCTTTTGGGGCAGTCTGAGGGGAGGAGTCCTGTCAAGGTTTAGCAGCAGCGCCCCACTCTCTACATGGGCCAACTTTGGCGCTCCTAAAACATTCTCCTCCTAGGCTCCATTGGCTTCTTCCTGTTGTGGGTAGACGCAGGGAGAGTCGAGATCTGCTCGAATGAGATACATGCAGGTACTAGAGCATGAAGTGATGTCAGGTGCGCCGCGCGCGCTGTGAAATGTAGAAATGACATCATCAGCCAGACATTTGGATTTGTAGGACTGCAAAATGGCGCGAAACGCCACGTGCAAGTCGCGCATCGGTTTTGCGGAAGCGGCTGTGGGGACTTGTTTTTGCGCGGCAATGCAGAGCTTCCTTGCGCACCAGGAGAATTGGGCGAGCCCCCACACGTCCCCGGCCTCGACATTGTCTCCCAAGTTCTTGCTTGAAGTTGCATTTTGGACGCATGAGAAGGCAGGTTTCAATCGTGCCAGTTTTAGTTTTTGTGCGCCGTCCAATGGGCGCCCATGGGTTGGCTGAACTCCATGCAGGGAAGCATCTTCATCACGTCATGTAGTGCTTTTCTTGAAGCTTGATAGAGTCAAATTGTGTGAACCCATTCCGCAACAATGTCTTTCCTCAGCTGGGCCGCCGACGTCTTGGAGAAGGTCGACCAGTCTGCCGCGGGCCTTAGCGACACGAGTAAGAGCGGCCGCCGCCGAAGAAGAAAAAAGCAACTTCCCGATGGCGGGCCTTATTCTGATGTAGATGGGACAAGTGAGCAAGAGACGGACGCCAGTGTTGACTTTGACGGACGCAGTCAGCTTTTGGGTGTTTCTGAATCCCCTGTTCGGACAGCTTCCGGACATGCCACTTGGGACCAGGGTGTGCCTGAGTCGGCTGTGGCTAAGCTTGCGAAGGCTCCCTCTCTGACAATTGAACAGCTTCGGAGCGTCAGGAGGAACTTGAGTGACAGGCGGGAGTGGTCGCAGCCAAATTTGAAGAAGGTGAGAGTATCTCGCAGCACTGCTCGCATCAACGGCATTGCTTGGTGGTTCTTGGTCTGTGAACTGTTCTGAACTGAGGAGCACTGCCTACCTTAAATTGTCTCACATCATTGTATGGGTTTCTCGAACGTGCTTCTGAATGCTGCAGGTATATTCTATCTTCTGTGCAGAATCAAGTCTGAAATTGTTTTAAAGACCTAGTCATTCAGAAGCTTCCTCTTGTCACTGTTCAGGTACACACTGTGTTGCTACTTCTTCTCTGAGACTTCTTTAGATCTGTGCAGTCAAGTGTCACTTCCGACAGCAGACCTTCAGAAGGATGCATGTTGCATTGAAGACAGGGAACTAATTACGTCTCATCTTCGGCAGGCGTATGAGGAGAGCTTGCGGAAGCTCAGCCAAGTGGAGGCGCAGGTGTCTGTCATGCTGGCGGAAAATGAAAAGCTGCGGAGAGAGGCCGCAGTTGCAGCGCAGATGAATGCACAGGAGTTGGAGCACCTCCGCGCGGAGACGGCGGCTGCTCAGAGGACGATCGACGAAGAGAAAAATGCGCACACTTCAACTAGGATTCAGGTGCTCCTCATGACAAGGAAGTTGCGTTCTTTCTTTGCAGGGGAATATGTGAGAGCATAACTCTTTAACATGGTCAGTGATGTCTGCACAGGCCGCAATTATGCATGTGAGTTGCACTTATGCATATTCTGCTCCGAGTGCTCATAATACCTTGCGTGATTACTTGCTTCACCGGCTGGGCTCCGAAAACTTGATCAAACTGAAGAAAACATAAGGTCCTGTGAACGTGTTTGATTCCAGGCTGAGATGCGCGAGTCATCCCTCCAAGCGGAGAATCTGGCGTACGACAAGGCCCTCGAGGCCACTCAGCGGCACTCCCAAGACAAGGCCGCCGAAGCAGAGCGGCTGGTCGCCAGGCAGGCACAACTAGACTCGGAAGAAAGTTCTCTAGAGGAAGAGGTGCGAGAAGTGCTGGTTGAGCTGAGTACAGTGAGAGAGGCGAGGGAGAAGGAGGAAAGAACGGCAAGCAGGGGAGAGGCGAGGACTGCGGATGAAATGAGGGGAGAGGAGAGGGATAATGTTGAGAGAAGGGAGGAAGCAGAAGAGAGGGGAGAGATTGAGAAGAGGAGGAAAGCAGGAGAGGAGCTGGATCGGGAGATTGCCCGGTTGGAGGAACGGCTCATGCAGCATGAGAGGAATGCTGCCAAGTGGCCGTCCGCAGGTGAGTAATCCAATGGTGCTGTACTGTAAAGGGTTCCGGTTTTGGCTTTGGGGTGACGAATGCGGACTTGCAAATTCGAGCCTTGTCAATGATGGGTTAGCTATTACATTTGTTCATCCGCTTTCTGTCAGTGTTTGGAAGCAAGCGAGTTCGCCTTCGACTCTTTCTAAGACCGAAGAAAGCTGCAAATGACTGTTGCGCCAGGAAGTCTGAAAATTCGGTCGGCGAATCTCCGTCGGCGAATCTTCGGTTGTCATTGGAGACAGCCACTCTTCTGTAGGAGCCAATGTTCAGGTACATTCGACAAATAATGCTCCCGGCCACAGAAATACTTGTCCCCAATCACGATAGTGTGAAGTCGTGGTACGATTTCTCAGTCTGCTGGATGCGTTCTGGCCAACCTATCTGGACGTGTTTCAAACGAAGTGTTGACTTGTGCCTTTCTGATGACGGCAGAGTGAGTCCGCTCAGTTGCTCTGTTGCATATTTGAAAACCTATAAGAGAGCAATCGGGCCCTGATGGAGTCCCGTTTTAGGGCGGAGCTTTGTAATCTGGTGCGAATATGTTTGCCAAGTACAGCAATCGTTTTGGGCATGTTCATACAGAACTCCAGACCACTACTGCCGCAGGAAACTTGGGCCGACTCTTCAAAGCCGACAATTGCAAAGGCAGTAATGTTGCTCTTCGTTCCTATCCTCTGAGGATGGACTCTCCAATTTCCCCTGTCGTTTCTCATGGCTTGCTCAATCTTTTCCTGCGCTTCATCTGCAGGACAACGGGAAATGGAACTAGAGCGGCGCTTAAGGGCCCTCAACGAACAGCTGGTTGCAAAGCAGGTGAGTTATTGCAAGGACAGGGAAGTCCTGTTGCTGCTTATCTTTGTCAAGGAGTTCCGCTGCTACTCTGGCAGGCTTTAGAGCGCGACATTGAATGCGAAGGAGTAGGCCGCTTGTCAAATCCTTCCTTGAAATGTTGGCACACGGTAACATGCAATCTTTTCCCGTCTTTGCCCGCCCTTTACTTTTATCCCTGAAAGAGCTCTTGTCATGCGTCTCGGTATTGACTCTTGGAATCCGTGTTCCCCCTCTCTCTCGCTTTAGAAGCTTCCGCCATGCTTTTCTGTTTCGCATTTTTCAACCTTGTCCGCGGTTGTTCCTCTGACCTTCACTCAGAAGGGACTAGCTTCTGATCTGACATCGACCGGACTAGCTTCTGATCTGATGTCGACCGCACGCTTGTCGGTCAATCTGGATTCGTCAACCCAATTGCCAGTCAAGCAGTTCATGCAGCGCGCTGAATGACGTTTTACACTTCCGGCAGGCTCAAGCGGAGGCCTTTGCCAACGAGCGCCGTGCGCTCGACCTGCGGCTGCAAGCGGCCCTCTCGACGCGGCGGGAGCAGCAGTTCGGGCGCAACGACTACGGCGGAACCAAGCGCGGGAAGAGCGGACGGAGCTTTTCAGACCATCCCAGCAAAGGACGGAGCGGCGCTCGCCAGCTGGCACGGTTCCGGGGTAGTGACGTCAGGGGCGGGAGCAGCTCGAACCCGATCATATACGCGGCAGAAGCAGTGGAGGGGTTGGGGTCCACGGTCGGCCGAGCGGTGCAGCAGAACGCATTTCTCCGGACGCTGACGGTTGGGTACGTTTTAGTGCTGCAGCTGGCAGTGGTTTTTATGTTGTTCCATGCAGGAGGCGGTGGCATGTCTAGGTAGTGTGGGACGCTCCGATGTTTCCAAGCGCAACGGATCCGGTCGTCGATCGTTGGACTCGGACTGCCTGTCCAAGCAAATAGTCTCTTTGTCAATGTAACGTCGTTACTGTTATCCGTTATAAGGGCAAGTTACAGAAGACCATACTGCCTTCAAGCCACGTGGCCCAAAGACGCCCGAATCGGCCGCTTTGATTTTATGTCAGCGAGCTCTGTGGCGGCTGTTTCCCGCCCTCTTCACGAATCAGGCAGAAATCGCATGCACCTTTGAAGCATACTAGTGCAAGGGTCCCGCTGTGTCGGCAATCCGTGGGGCACATCAAGCGGCAAACTTTACAGAACGAGCAGCTTAGCCCATGATGCCTCGCGCGAGGATGGTGCTCCGCGAGATGCTAATTATCATGCATAACACCAATCACTCTAGCTGTGCAAGTTAAGTGCATGTGATCGATTGCAATGATGAGAAGTCGAACATCAGTATCAAGTGCTGCATGGCCCGCGGGCATAAGAATCTGAGTATAGCCTGCAGATCCTTGCAGCAGTTGCACGCGCATGTGCACGTATGTGCAGCGCCCTGCATGATCCAGGGATATAAGCCGCTGCGCATGAATACAGCTGATCAAAGTTTCAGCCACGAAGTTAAAGCATGCGCCCTTAGCCACATACATCATGCACATGCAGCCGCATGCGGACTCGATGTGACTTAGATCTTCTGCAGATCCGCTCGAGTCCCGGCCTGCCAAGCTCAGCTGTCCCGCTGGCTAGCGCAGGAAAAGAAACAACAGATATGGTATCTCAAATATCGAACTTAACATGAATGCCTGTAAGAGCTCGTAAACAAGATATCCAATCAAGTCTGGCGCACACGTGGTATGCAATGTAACGTTGACTAAGATCGACTACTTACCAGTACAAGCCGGCTATCTAAGTATTCTAGGCTCTACTCATTCATAACATAAAATATCGAGTCCAGAGTACAAGGGCTGTGGCTATTTGGTGCCTTAGCAAGGTCTCGCACGCACGTCTCGTCGGCCAACACTCTCCTTACTTTCTGCTTCAGTAACATTGTTCTCCGCAAACTCATCTGGTCACGGCCCCCTTTTGCCAGTCCGAAAATCTGACATACACACGGCAGACGCTGCCGGGACGGCCCAGCGTCCCCGGGGGGCCGAGGGCAAGAATCTGTACAGCCGTGGAACGATCGCACAGCTCTTTATTGCACAACAACACGCACCGCCCGCCGCCCCGACCCACGCAGCTCATGGATAGTCATCTTTGTGTCGCATGCTGCGCATTGGAGGGGGGGGCTTCACCTCACTGCAAAAGGCCCCCCCAGCCGTGGGTCCTCCCGCTCAAAGACCTTTCTAGAACCTCTTCTGTCTAAGGCGCCATACCTTCTGGCGCTGCACGCTACAGTTACAGTTTCGTGGACGACTCCCGACGCCCGCCCTCCCACGCGGCGGCTGGCCCCTTGACGTAATCTTCCCAGCGCCAGCAGCGCCTGCGAGGCTCTCGCTCTTTTCTCCGGGATCACCGCCCCTCGTAAAAGTCCTCCCTCTCTCTCTTAACAGTCGAAAACGCCCCTGAGAAACGCCCTTCCCCGCTCCTCGCCTCTCCCTCCCTCCCTTACCATCCCTCTCTCCTCGTTTGCTCCTCCGACCCCCATTGTTTAAGTTAAAAAGTCTCTCCGTATCGTCGACGTGCCCGTTAGGCCCTACCCCCTCTCAAACATTCTTGTTTTTCTCGCCCCCCTTCCCGCTCTTCTCACTAGATGTTCTGTCCCCGCAACCCTTCTGACAACCGCTCATCAATCTTTCCGTCCCCCTCTCCCAGGCCTATCAACGAAGGCTCTTGTCATCGCCGAAGGTCCCCGTCGGACCCCTCATCCCCCCGCCCTAGTTTCAAGTTCGCCTGCGACAGGATGCGCTTTCCGTAGGGGCTGTTGCGCACTGCCGTCAGGTGCGGCCGGATCGCATCGACCAGCCCAGCGTGCACTGCGCCCTGTAGAACACAAACAGTCTTGTTTTGTAAACGGCAAAACATGGTGCCAAACAAGCTCCAGCGGACTTCGTTGACTGGGTAGACTCTCGGACCCTTTGTAATCTTTTCGACCAGGCCAAAAGATGTGTAAACTTTTAAACACTCGGTAGTCTGTCGACCAGGCCAGCCTGGATGATAGGCCGAATTCGTTCAGCTTCTTTGAAGAGAAAGTGGACCTCAAAAGCACGCCGACATTGGAGTAGAGATAGAAATGTCGTGCCAATTTCAACAAGTCAAGCGGGTGACTTCAACAGCAGAACGATCGATGCACGAATGCTTGCCCAACAGCATAGCCAGAAGCCTTGTCAGTCATACTGACCCTGTGAAGAATATTGTAGACTCTCAAGGATGGAATAAACGCACCATAGCCCGTCTAACAGACAGAGTCAGACCATCATGGTTTAAGTGGTCGCAAAACTCCAGCTAGAAGACACAAGCGGCACTGGGTCGTCCACGGCTGCTTTTAAGACGGGAGAGCACAAAATATTGATCAACTGACAATCCCTCAATCCCTCGACCTTACAGTTGATGTCAGCAACGACCTATGTCAGCACCGACCTACAGATACCAACGACAGCCCAAGGAAGGCAACAAGCGTAGCTAACGTCATCCACGACGTCACCCGGCCCACCTTGGACACGGTGAGCGCGCTCTGCACGACGTAGTTGGCGTACGGGTCCTGGAGCAGGTGCCCGAGGCGCGGGGAGAGCATCAGCTCGCGCACAATGCGGTTGCGGCTGTCCTCCGCCGCGAGTTTGAGGCACTTCTCGACGACGTTGCTGGAAAACTTCTGGGTCGCGAGGTACGGGTAGTTGCCCTCGAGGCGCGTCATGACCTCGGCGGACGCCCAAGGGAGGCCCAGGTCTAGGATGTACTGGACGACGTAGTTGCTGCAGAGGAATGGGTTTTGAGAGGGCTTTAGGAAGGGGTTAAGAGAACTGATTAGGCGCGTGATGTCCTCGGCGAACGCCCCGGGGAGGCCCAGGCCTAAATGTACTGGACGACGTAGTTGCTGCGGAGAAAGGGGTTTTAGGAAAGGGTTAGAGAGGGGTTAGGGCGGGGTTACATGTACAGGACAAATTATGTGCGTCATGACCTCAGCGGACGCCCACGGGAGGCCAGTGATGTACGGAACCACGTAGTTGCTGCGAAGAAAGGGTTTTGAAGGGGGTTAACGAGGGGTTAAGAAAAAGGTCTTCGTGAATAGGCGCGTCATGATCTGAGCGGACGCCCAGAGAAGGCCGAGTTCTAAAACGTACTAAGAAAGTAGTTGCTGTCAGAAGAGGGGTCGGGAAAGGGGTCAGAACGGGGGTACGAGGCTTGTCCTCGACACATGAACGTGATGAGTAGAAATTTGGGGTGACACTTGCTCTAAATTGCTGCAGGAAATGGGAGTCACAAGAGTAAGTACAAAGAAGATGAGGAATGCATGTGCGGGACCTATACATGATATAGAAGTTTACAAAGACCGAGGTCTAGAATGCCCTGAACAAGGTGATTGCTGCAGGAAACAGAGTATAAAGAAAACTTGAAAAACGAAGTCGATGATGGTACGAACCAACGGTGGTAGGCAGATATGTTTTGGATTTGTTAGTTGCCTGTTCTCTTAAGAGAATCTAAAGCCGGAACACAATAAAGGGAAGCACATGGTGCTGAAGCTCAGAGTGAGAGCGTTAGCAACACCAAGCTTCAATTGATCGTCACTGCATGGTCACGAGCAAAGCAACGCGCAAAACAAACCCGACACTCCCGAAACGGACAAAAGAGCGCCTCACCCGAATGGGTCCTGCGACAGCACGAGCGCGTTGGCCGCGATCTCGGCGACCAGCCGCTGTCTCTGCGCGCCCTCCGCAAAGTCGACGCACCGCTGCAAGACGCAGCACCCGTGGCGGTGCGTCGCGACCTCAACACAGTGCTGCGCGGCCGCGTCGAAGATGAACTGGTTGTCGTCGTTGCTCAGGCGCTGGAGGCAGCGCTGGATCACGTGGTTGCCGTTCAGGTCCTTGATGAGCGTCACGACGCCGGGCTTGAGGCCCGAGACGACCATGCGGATCTGGTCGGGGCCGGCGATGGTCTCGATGAGCTTCTGGACGGCGCGGGTGCTGCAGGGGGGGGGCGGGATCCGGATAAGAAGCGCTCATGAAATAGAGCAAGGGAAAGGTCGCTTCAGTATGTCCCTAAGTTCCTTCTCAAATGAGGAACTCAGTGTTCGAGATGCTTTGATGATGAGCTTCTGGAAGGCGCGGGTGCTGCAGGTGGACGGAAAGGGAATGAGAAAATTCCGTGAGAGAAAGCAACAAGAGGTTCGTCAATGTGTTTTTCTGAGTTGAAGCTCTCAGGCTCGGAAGTCTTGATGAGCTTCTGGACGGCGCAGGTGCTCCGGACAGGGGGGAGGAGGAGCGTTGAAACTACAGCAAAAACAGGGATGCTTGGCTTTGAGGCAACTCGTACCTCTAAAGCCTTACGGACCTGGTTACCAAGTTTTACAATTACGCGAAAGATAATGTGTAACAGCCCCTCCACTTTTCCAAACACCTCCAGAACAGGCGCATTCTCGATAACAACAAATCAGCGTAAACCAAATGTGGGTCAGAGCAGGATAAGGATAGATCCTGACCTGAGATGTATGGGGACTGGCTGAGCCTTTAAAGTGCCACTGATCAGAAAAAGGTCACAGAGTCATCAACAATGGAATAAGCAATATGCAGCCTCATCCGTTATCATGTTATTCCCCATTGTACAGCCACAAGCAGAGCAGGACCTGGCAGATGTGCATTTCTGCATCACGATACTGTCAAGGTAAGACCTTGTTCAGTGAAGCCAATGAAAACAGGACAGGAATATGTTTGCCTGGGCCACTCAGCATGCTTGTGCCATGGTACATCGTTCCAAGGCGGGTAGAGCAGGAGTACAAGGCCAGATGAAGAAATGCAGCCAACATAGGCCGAACAAAGCCAGTGTCCAGACTGATGCAGGAGTTCACAGCTCTTTGATACCTGTAGAGAGCAATGCTCATAAGACCTGTCTTGATCTTTCCAACCTCAGGACATGACTGAAAACCTTTTCCTCTGCTTGCACAGCCAGTGTGCAATCCAAGCAGAGACCATGCGACCACCAAAATAGTGTAGCCACGATAACAAGGGTCACGTTTGACAAGCGCTGGCAGACTCTGCGGTGGCTGAGAAGTTGGCAGAAAAGCGAGAGCAATGCAGACCCGAGAACACGTCAACAAAAAGTTTCAAGGATGTACCAAACAACCGACCCTTGCTTGCGAAAAGCAGGGCGAATGTGCGAAAGAGTGGCGCCTCAAAGTGAGAGAAGGTTCTTAACATGTGAATAAGAAGGAGGAAACTTACTTACAGAGGTACTAGAAAGTTGGAGGCTTTGCAATGGGGCGCCTGAAACAAACAGCTTGAGCAACCGAGTACACTCAAGCAGGGGTTCCAGAGACACGGCAGTACCACCACACAAACGCAGTTTTCTCAGCAAAAAGTGAGCAGGCTAAGATTAAAAAACAGAAGGAGACAGTAGGATGCACCGCCGGCTCACCCGTGCATATTGAGCGAGATGGACACAAGTTCCTTGGCCGCGATGACCCGGTCCAGCACCGCCTGCCGCTGCTCCTGGTTGCAGCACTCGAGCAGCTTCTGGATCAGATAGTTGCCAAACGGGTCCGTCATCAGCTCGACCACATGGACAATGATCTCCCGGAAGATCTTCTCGACCTCGCCCGGGCCCCCCTCGTCAAACTGCTTCTGCAGGAAGCGGCATCCGTGCTGGTCCTTGGCGATCTGGTAGATCTTGCCCTCGACCTCCGCGAGCGACGTGTATTTCGCCAGGGGGGGGTGCACGGCAGGGGAGGCCTTCAGGTGGTGCTCCCCCCCGCCGTGATGGTGGTGGCCGTTGCTCCCATTCCCGACCAACCGCTCCCGGCTCGCCGGCCGCGGGATGCCCTTCTCCCCCCCGTACCGGTATCGCGGCTCCTCCCGAGAATGTGGCATCGCCGGCGCCCCCCGTTGCTCCTTCTTTGGCTCGGCATGCACGAACGGGCACCCGTCCCCCCTGCTGCAGTACCCCTGCAAATAATACTTGCAAATGCTGCCTGCGCGCTCGAGGCCGCTCCAGCCAGCCTCGCCGCCGCCGCTGCGCACCTTGTGCAGGGGGGGGGTGTGCAGCGGGGACGGCATTCGCTGCGGGGGGGAGTAGCTGCGGGCGTAGGGCATCCCCGCCGCCGCGGCGGCCTCCATCTGGCTCTGGTGGAAGCGCTGCTGCTGGACCGCCGCCGCCGCAAGCGCCTGCTGCTGCAACAGCAACTGCTGCTGCTGTAAGCGGTGACGTAAGCGCTCCTCCTCCATCTGCTGCTGCAGCCGCTGCGTCTGAAGCACCGCCTTCTGCATCTGCTGCTGCGTTTGTAAGAACGCGGCCACGTCGTACTCGCTTAAATAAGCCGGCGGCACCTGGGGGGCATACAGATCTGCGGCTCCATTCAGCCTGCTGACATAAGCGTCCAGATTGCCTGAGCCAGGGTACCCTTCCAAGGACGAAGACGACGCCTTTCCTGAGCGGCTGTATCCCGCATTGTCATAGACAGGAGAGCTGCGGGTGCGCAAGAGCTGCTCTAGAGAACCGCCCCCCTGGAAGCTCTCCACCGACGCGGAGCGCTGCGAAAAACCATGATCAGCAGCCGGAACCCGCTTTCCTAGCCCGTCCAAGCCCCCCAGGGAAGCCCTGCTGATGTAACCGTCCAGCGAGGACGCAGATCCGAAGGAACTGAGCCCCCCGCCGCCGTTCTTGGCAAACCCCTCCTGATAACCCCCGTCCATTGCATCGTACGAGCGCCGCAACTGCTGCAACTTCAGTCGGCTATCGTCTCCCGGGCTTGCACCCCCCCCGGACGTGATGGAGTCCCCGGTGCCGCCCCCAGATCTGCTGGACCCCCCCTCGTCCATGCTCAAACCCCCAAAGGATGAGACGAGGGAGAGGTCCCTGTCAAGGAACCCCTGGGAGGAGTGCCGTCGGTGGCCATGGCCATGTACTGAGTCTAGATGCTCCTGAGAGTGCCTCCTCTGGTGATGGGAGGGCGGCGGATGGTGCGGCGAGTGATAATGTTGCGGGAGGTGCTGCGGGGAGGGCCCGCCATGCTGGCTCAAGTGGGACCTCACAAAGCGAGGGCTGTCCAGATCTAGGCCGCTGTAGAAGGGGGAGAGCTGGGGTTGCAGACCCCTGGGAGACAAGCCACTGGTCTCCCCTCGCCGCGCGTCCTCAAGGGGTAACGGCGGGGGCAGCTTCTTTGTCCCAGAGTACGAGCGGTAGAAGGTGTCGTACAGCTCGTCAGAGCGGATGTCGATGTTGGGGTTCACGACAGGACTCTCATCAGGCCTCATGAGCAGGAGAGGATCGTCCAGCTGGCCCCCATACGCCTTCTGCAGCTCTTCCAGATGTGGTGGAGCAGAAGTTGCCCTGGGAATCTCCCCCAAGAGTTGTTCAAACTCGCCATCATCGTCTGGCTCCATCCCTGCTTGGGGCGAGAGGCAGATCTAGCACTTTGGGAGGGCTTTGTCTCCCGCGTTTGTCACGTCATCACCAATGCAGGGCCTGGTTTGGCTCCCCACAGGAACCGCAGCTTGTGAGAACAAAAGTGGAGTGCAGGGTCTCTTGAGGTGCATCACGAACAGCACAAAGCAAGAGACGCTGGAACCTGAAGGCGCACCATGGATCCTGATCTTCCTTTGGCGAGTCTACCTGCAAGATCTTCGGCCCACCAGGGCCACCTGCAAAACATCGACCTGCAGTCTGCAGGCAGCAGTCTGTTCACGAACCAGCCTGCTCCCGCCGGCTCCGTGTCAGAACGCTCTGATCGGACGGTTTGAATTGCACCTTCAAGATTGAATCCACGATCGCGGGTCCAGGAACAAGAACTTAGCTGTCACGTCAGAAAGTTTAGCGGTGTTGAAGTTTCTGGCACCAATCTCCTGAGTCCTTAGGCTTGAGCTTTGAACAGCATTAAATTTGAAAGAGGAAGTTGGCATGCAGGGGATGGCGGTCGCACTCGTCAGAATGTGTTGATTGGATTTGGAAAGGAGCTCCGCAGTTGAGCGACCAAGGGCGCTGGGGAGGAAAGCATGACGTCGGTCATAGCCCCCTCCTTGTCTGCCTGTTGCAGCAGATGGGCGTGTCAGAAACCTCTCCACGAAGGTGATGCCCTGCAGAATTTCCGCAGGCTTGGGTTTACCAAAAGTTGCCCTCTGCTACCACATTCGCAAAGTAGATGGTCTTTTTCAAAGGAGTTGGCCAAGCGCTGTGCCAGTCGATCCATTCTTGCTTCTGCAGTGACGGACACCACGGAAGCAATTGAAAAGGATGTATCGACATCAGAAGAGCCCGTTCTGGCGACCCCAGACACAAAGCCTGTCAGACGGAGGCGGCAGGCCAAGAAAGAGGGGGCTGAGACTGGAGCACAGAATGCTGCTTCTGTGGAGGGAGCTGCGTCTGCTGAGGCAGAGGCAAACCCTGCATCAAAAAGACAGAGAGGAAGACCCCGAAAGTCTAATCCTGCGGACGGTAGATTAACCGGCGGAGCAGGTATAGTGGATACAGAGGAGCTTCCTGAGGGGGTTGCGACATCCAGGGTTGATGATCAGGCGGAGTCAGAGCCTGTGGACGCAAAGCAGGGTGGTCAGAAGAAGCGTGTGTATGCGCAAGATGCAAAAAGATTGAAGGTGTCCACGAAGAGAGCCGGTGAGTATTGAGAATGTGGCTCACAATGTGAGAAAATGAATGTGAGGCAGTGTGGCTGGAGGTGAATCTCTTTGATGCAGGGTGGTCGTGAGGTGCTGTCTCTTGCTAAAGCAGATGTGCTCTGTGTCCTTCGTCCTTTGTATCTATGCCTGCTTTGAACAGAAAGAATGAGGAGAATGTAAGTCGCATCTCCGTGAATGTGGCCATTCCACTGCTGGAGCTTGACAACCACAACTTCGATGCATTGGTGTCAGAACTCATTCCTGTATGGTATTGGGCCCTATGGCCCTATATCGAGTGGAGCCAGTACGTATGCTTTGTTGACTACATAGGCTCAGGTTTTCCGTGCATTCTGCTAACCTCCTTGCTTTCTATTGGTAACGGTTGAAGTGTTGCCTTCCTTCTGATCACCCAAGCATAAGCTCACGCCTCAAGCATATCTACTTTTTATCAGCAAAAGCCTTCCGCTGTCCCAGTGGATGGTTAGTAGGATTTAGGGGTAGCTATTCAAGCATACCTCTCATTCTCTTTTTCCAGTTGCACTCTTGCACCTGCTGCGCATTGAGAACGACGCCGCCTACGCAAGCCTGCTGGACCGCAATGGCCAGCAAGTCAGCCTGCGCGTCGTTGAGAAGTCGCTGGGGCTTAAGATTGAACCACTCTCTAAGGCCGACCTGCGCCAGGTCACCGAGCTTGTCTCGTCAACCACCAAGTGGCGGCGCTACTTGGACTTTGTCATTGAAAGTGTCTTTGAGCGGGAGGGCAAGAAGCAGAAGGTCAAGGGCGCAATGAAGCAACTCCTCAGGCTTGGGGCCTGCGAGGTGCTGAAACTGGGGCAGCCTTCTCATGTGGTCAACGAGATGGTTCAGCTGACTAAGTACATCAAGGGAGGTGGAGACAACGCGGCCAAGTTTGTGAATTATGTCCTCAGGCAAGTGACACAGATGAAGGAGGCGGGGACGCTGCCGGAACCTAAGGCCGGGGGGAAGGTCACAAACGCGGATGTGCTCGGGATCATGCACTCGCAGCCAACGGTGAGCATGTCTTGGAATAATAGTGATGTTGTCGACATTGTTTGGCTGGTGATCCTGTTTCGTGAAGTGCGGATAAGTAGGAGTCTATCAGTCGTCTGGTTTTACGCCATCAGACTTTCCATTGGTGATTGGGGGACAGGCACATCCGAGGAGTGGGACGGATATGGGGCCGTCAATTCGTCTATTGGCTCTGCTCGTTCTTGAAAGATGTCTCTGGTCAAACTTGCAACAATCAATTATGCGTTGCCGTTTGAACGATGCGTTTGTGTCTGTTCCAGTGGATCGTAGAAAGGTGGCTTGAGAGGTATGGGGAGGAGCACGCCATCCAGTTTCTGAAGTGGAATAATGCGGTCCCCGCCTTTGGTGTGAGGTGAGCCTTGGTCGAAGCGCTTTCACTAATCTATGAATGTGTTGTCTCCCCCTTACTTGCACCACTGAGCGCTCGCCCACCTCCGCTTGACGCCTCTGATCAACAGGTTTTATGAGCTGGCGCATCGTTCACCGCCAATAAGGGCTGCAGCGCTCGAACGAATTTTGATCCCAAGCTTGCACGTCCTTCAACTCAGCTAGATTGGCGTGCTGGCAAACAGAATGAACGTGCTGATTCTCTGTGCGCTAGATATGTACCACGTGGCTAGTATTTTGGTTGTCATTCCCTCATGCCGAGATTCTTTGCAATTCTTGGCAGCTGCTGACCAAAATATATGTATGTTTGCAGGCCAAGTGTTGCGAGGGGCACCACACTCGACGGTTTCAAAGAGGAGCTAGAGAAGCTCGCTAAGGCAAATAAGAAGGTGTGATGTTTTGCCATTTGTACTGGAACAAGTCTTGGTCTTCTACTTCCAATCAACCAAATTTGCCTTCTTTTCTTATGCTTCATGCAGTCCTGGTTGCGTGTTATGGCTGGAGCGAGCTAAGGTTCACTTCCTTATATGTCGCTTCCAGAAGTGTTCTACTTTTCTCTACGGCTGGCAATCCCTCCGAATGCTCCCGGGAGAAGGCTCTCTTATGGGTATTCCTACTCTCTTCCCGATTGCTTGCACTGCCATGTACAGCCTATTAACAGTTCGTCCATCTCCGCTTGGAAAGGCGTGAGGCCATGTCTGGTCGGTGAGTCAGTTATGCTGCTGTCTTCTGCAGGTGGAGTATGTTGAATCGCCCTACCTTCCCAACGTCCTGCGAGTACAGAACGGGATGCAGGTGAGACGTACTTTCAACCCCAGCACACGCTACTTTCTTCCTAGCCGTCACGTGTCTCGTTGGCCATCACCGAGCCCTGTGCGCATACGGTAGAAAGGACCAAGATGCACTCGGTCACTGTATATGTGTATATTCTGTCGAAGTAGTTAGGAAGGTGCCTAAATCTGTTGGACGCTGCCAACCTGGTAAGTGGACGAAGGGTGCAAATTCCTGCCCGTTACTGCTCAGCTGCTCCTCATGGCGTTTCCCATTTCCGTACAGGCTATCCGCGAGTTGCTGGACGAAGGCCTCTGCTCGGTTCAGGATGAGAGTGCCGGTGAGCCGACGGACCTTTCGTTTTAAACATATCATTTGCTGGCCTTGTGTTTCAACTCGTACACTATTTTCGAGCATGGGCCTTCTCTCGAGGCTGGGGCCATGCGAGGTGGGTCTGAGGCCGCGTGGGCTGGCGTTGCTGGTCCGTTTTGGAAGATTTTTGTGCAATTCAAAGAGCAAGAGCTCGGCAGCGTGGGCGAGGTTACGACAAGAACACTGGCGGTGAATCGTATCTGTGCCAGTTGTGCCCGTTTCGCAAGTCGACGAGGACGAGTGTCAGGAATTGGTAGACCGCCCTTTGCACAGGCAGCTTACCAACGACTCGTTGCATCGACCCTTGAAGGGTAAATTTTAACTCGGCCCTTCGGAACCAACTGGAAAGCTGCAAGTCGCATAAAATACTGAGCCCTTCTCTACAGGTCTGGTCGTCAACTTGCTCGACCCGACGCCAGGGGACTTCATCATCGACACGTGTGCTGCACCGGGGGGGAAGACGTTCAATGCCGCGGAAAGGCTGAATGGAGAAGGTGAGGCGTTCAAAGACGTCGATCCGCAGCTAGGCTCTTGGGGCTTTATAAGGTTTAGCTTCGCCTGCAGAACGGTTGGTAAGTATGGTCGGCTTGGCCGAAGACGGGACCGCTTGTGTGGTGCCCATGAATAGGGCGACTGCAGGTCGTAATTGATGTGCAGGGAGGTATGCCACTGGCATTAAGAAAACAACACGTGGCAATATCAGGCGGGCAGACAAGCAGATTCACGTTAAATCCGTGCAGGGTCCGTTTTGGCGCTCGACATCCATGCGGCGCGGTTACAGAAGCTGACGGAGGTTTCGAAGAAGATGGGACTCGACAACGTGATCGAGACGGGGGCCGGGGACCTCCGCTACCTCGCGGTAAGCCCCTTTCGGTACCAATCGGATTTGGGCTCAGAAAGTGCACTGGGAAACAGCGGACTTCGTGCAGACACTTCTGCGCTCCAGTAGCTGTCCCTGCAGAGACATTCATTGTCATAGCGGCGACACCGGCCGACTAGTTCGTCGTTCTAGCAGTGGGTAGTCGTACCAAGGGAGGGCTTTGATGCAGTGAATACCGCCAGAAAAGAATATCTAGTGTGCGCCAGGCTGGTTGGATGCAGTGCTTGAGGGCTTGTGCTGATGTAGAGAAGTCGCCGTTCGTCGACGGCCGTCCGAAGATGCTGCAGTGTGCAAAAAAATAGCCCTGGCTGCGGGTACCACTGATTGGAAGTCGAGAGAACCCTTTCCCTTAATTTTCTGGAGCATAGCCATTTTTTGAATACGTTGTTTAATAAAGTCGGAGAATACCTGGTTCTGGAAGAGTACACAAGTAACGATACAGCGCTCCTTGTCGAAGCTGCCAGTCTTTCAAGCCACTACCGTGATCTGCTGAACTCAAATTTTCAATAAGCTGCTGTGATGAAATAACGAACGTGTCTTGCTTCCTTTCTGCAGCGCAACCGGCCGCGGCTTGCGGACAAGGTTCTGGTGGATGCGCCATGCACAGGCCTGGGGGTCGTCGCACGGGTGAGTTCAAAAGTTCCAAATCTTAGTCGCCAATATCACAATATCACCACTGACCATCCTGCCTGAGCGGGGTCAAGGAGAATCAGTAAGTTTGGGACGGGGGCCGGGGATGCTGTTGAAAGGGCTGACGTGGCTCTATCGCGGTCCGTCGCAGCGTGCGGATTTGCAGTGGCGCAAGAGCCAGGCGCACCTGGACGAGCTGGGCAACCTTTCAGCGCACGTGCATAATGCTTCCGTCTCTTTGACTGATTGTTCTTCTGATGTTCTCCCCGCAGCGTGCGGACCTGCGGTGGCGCAAGAGCCAGGCCAACCTGGAGGAGCTGGTGAAGTTGCAGGCGGAGCTGCTGGACGCGGCGGTCGCGTTCGTCAAGCCGGGCGGCCTGCTCGTCTACTCCACCTGCTCCGTCGAGCCCGAGGAGAACGAGATGCAAGTGGAGGCCTTCCTGGAGAGACACCCGGTGAGCTTTGTTCAGCTTTTCTGAGGTGTCGATTCTTCTTGATTGTGTGCTTTCGTGGCACCTTTTTGGTGAACGTGCACTCATGGTGGAGGTCTTTCTGGAGCGACACCAGGTGAATGCTGCTCTGCAATCTCGTTATTTTGACAATTGACAGGCGTCAGCGGGAGCTTGAGGCAGCTGTTTGTAAGACACCAACACAAGGCGTCTCCATTTCCTTTCTTCTTGCTTTTCCGTCTCGTGAGAGTTTTCCCTCCACAAACATACATGTGTGATGGGTCTTCTTGATCCTCTTGGCTTTTGATATCCTCAGCATCGTCGTTTCTCTCGTGGCTGTTATACCGGGTACCTAACTTTGACAAGTCCCAACTTTTGAGCTCCGGCGATGGAAGGTAAGCCTGCCAGCTGGACGATCGAACGGCTATTGTTTAGCTGCGCAACCATGGCGGCTTTGTTCCCGCTCTTCCTCCACTTTATGCTCTAAAGTGGTGGTTCCAAAGCTCACAAGACCTTCTTTTCAGCTGTTCTGAGGTCTTGCAAGCAAAAAGAATCAATAGAAATGGTGGACATACGCAAAAGCTGTGCAAAATGGCCTGTTCACGTGGCTTCGTTATAGCAGCCTAACCGACTTGCCGAAAATGGGTACCCACTATAACAGCCACAAGTCTAGTCTCATGGGCGGGCTGGGGTCTGCTGCCTGCTTGCTGCCTGCTACAAAGCAAGAGTAAGGGAAACTTCCGGCTTTCGAGAAGCTAAGAAGCGGAAAGACAGGGAATACTAGTCTGCTCTGTATGTAAGCGCCTAAAGCGCATCGCGTCAATCTCGAAACGCGTTAACATTGCAAAGTTCTGCTAGGCACATGAGTGTTACTGTGTCCACTCTTACTGGGTTTCTATTGCAGATTGTCGAGTCCGGAGTTTGAGTCTGACAGTCCCGTTCGATCGCGCAGGAGTTTTCAATTGAGTCGGCAACACCTTATGTACCGATTCAAGCCGTCACAGCAAGGGGCTTCTATGCGACGTTGCCCTTCCGAGACGGCATCGACGGGGCTTTTGGAGCTCGTCTCCGGAGAGCGGCCGCTTCTTAAAGCGGCCAAATCTGATCGGAACGTTGTTGTCGAGACTCATGATGCGTTTGTCGAACACATGGGCCCCTCTTGTTGGCTTGAGAGGGGACGAAACCAGCAAGACTTCCGTTGTAGAATGGAGTTGGAGACTGAAAACTTGCACCAGGGGACTTGGGTTGGATCGGGTTGATCGAGGTATGCTCGTGTTAGACAAGGTTTCTAGAAAGGGAAGCGAATCCCCGAATTGGGCGGCACAATGAACGCACGCTTTTTGTTGCCAAGGGGCAAGAGCACGTGATCCAAAGACAGGTGTGTATCTACTTGGTTGTTCACAGAATCATGCGTGCAGCCCTGTGTACTTTCTTGATAGATAGTTCTCTGTTTTGTGTTTAATAATAATATCAATCATGGTGCATGGCATGATGCAGATCTTTTGTGATGCAGCTATGACCCATGAGCCACATACGCGGTGCGTGCCGCGGTTTGTGATATAACTTGATCCAAGCTACAGCTATGAAATGTTCAACGCCGGCATGTGCACGTGCGCACGCCGGGCCAATGACCCATGGCAATTGGACATATGCCATGGGTCGCAAAAAGGCCTATGTTATGCATGATTCAAAGCACTGCATTGATTGGTATTAATCTGCAAAACTAATTTGAACAAACGTGCCAGCGCCCAGGCAGTGCGTACTTTAAATACGCTGCAGTGCACACGTCCATGACTTATCGTACTTAGCTAGGAATCTCCTCGGATCATGCAGACCAACCTCTTGAATCTATATATATTTCTTAGTGAACCATGGGTCGATCGGAGGCTAGCTGCAGCTAGACGAACATGATCGCGGCCAGACCGCATATTGATTGAGTTGTCAGTGCCACATGATAGCTAAAATTGACGGATCGACCCGAGCATTGCATGCGTTGCCAACATGCACATCGACATTGAGGTCATGGAAGAAGCGCAAATGCATGACAGATTCAAAGTGCAGGATCAACACGTTGCGTACGCCTAGCTCGTCTGACACAGCCGTCTCAGAGTCACGCTTATGCGCACCTTGTCCGATGTTTGCAAGGTCTTGTCGATCTCTGTACGACCTGGAATGCCGTGCTTCCAGTTGTATCGAGCTTCGCCTGACATTAGCAGCAGACTTCCTGGAGAGAGCACCAGCCTCTGTACTCCATCATTAGATCTGCCAGATAACTTATGCATCTCAGTGGCTTCAGCTATACTCGGTGAAATTTGGCCGTTGTCGTGACTTTCGGACTGGCCCCTTTCAGCGATGGTTGCTTCACTGTCGCTCACCCGAATCGGCGCTTTATGACCTTCTGCGCTACGTTGTCTGTGCAAGCAACCTGCCTTGTTGCTTAGCTCACCGTCCACATCTGTGGTGCCATTTTGTCCTGTGCTTGGACTTACACTCCGACCGACAAACGGTTCACTCCCGCGTCTCTGATTGCAGCCGGTGTGAAAAAGCTCGGCACTATCTCGACGAGCTTCGTCTGCCCTGGACTCCGTCTCCGACTCCCTACAATACTTTACGCGCTTGCTTTGCCTCGTGGCAGAGGACTCCGCTTCGCTAGCTTGCTTGAGCCCTGACTTCGCTGAGTCTTGTTCAGCGCGCACGGGGTGGAACTCCATCACCTCTTCCCGACCGAGCGAGACGATGGCAATCCCGTCCTCAAAACGGGCGAGGTCGACATGCGATGAGATGCCCTGCAGACGAGAGGTTCCAGATCTCTCCTAAGAAGGAAAAGTTGTGACAGGAAATGCTCAGAGCCTCGCTTTCCCGGTCGATGAACGGGGGTAACGATCTCAGGTGATTTTAAAACATAGTGCAAACTAAGGGCCACTTTCAGGTCACCTGAAGGTCCTTGTCATTGCGAACAGTCCGAGCTTGGTCTCATTTCAAAAGCAGAAAAACTTAGGACTTCGGATGCCAGAAAGTCGGAGTGGTCTCGAACACAGAATAAACGGCCCAAAATCAAGAGCTCAATGGCTGGACGCAGACTCACCTCCCCAGGCTGGTAACTGTTGACGATCATCTGGTCAAAGAGCGGTTCCCGCCAGAGAAGAGGGGGAGTGAGCGGAGTCTCGGAGTCTGGGGTGTCGATATCCAAAGACCCAGCGAAGTGTATTACGGACTGGTGGATGTCTTTGCTAAGGGCTTCCGCCCAGGCAGGGAGGTCACCAAAGCGCATCGCCTGACAAGCAGGGAGGAGGTCCAGCACACTAGGACGTTACATGAGAGCAGACCATAGATTCTTGACCTAAAAGATTCCTGCTCCCTGGGTTTCTAGTGGTTTGATCTGACAATGAAGGATGCGACGGCGTGATGAGAAAGTGGTGGAGTAAGTGAAAGAAACAGTATCAGAAGATGATCATTGATGATTGTGATGTCCCTGAAAGTTCTGTTCCTTGACACGCGGCTTGGTTTCACTTCCAGATTTTTACTCACTTGATTGTGGACCGGCGTTTCAAACCAGCCCTCTGCACCAATTTCACAGACACATTACGATGTTAATCCAAGGCAGATGTCATCTGGTGCCAAGGCATCATGAATCTCATTTGAACTATGGCCTTCAAGTTGCTCACAAGAAAAAGTCAGAATCCACTGCAGACCACCTCAATGTCAAAGTGAAACTTCTTTTGACAACAAACAAACAGTTCCTTCAATCTGGCCATGGGCTTAGCATCAATGGACTCTTGTAATGTGGAAGGTGGTGCTTTAATCCATGCGCACGTTGGCAAGTCATTCGCAGATTGGCCCCAGCAGCTTCTATTCACATCACAGATATAGAGCTCCTGTTTAGCAATTGTACCTGCTAAGATGTCCTTCAGGAGCTTCTCTTGTCGATCGCCCCTTAGAAAATTGGGACACAACCAAAGCCCGGGGACCCCCGCCACTTGTTGCCACTTATGCTTCTGCTGGTGGTGCAAGTTAAGTTCTGGTGACATACTTTCCAACGTCAGAAGCGAGTTCACAGTTAACCAGTACAAATACGTCTGCCTGACTTCGAGATGGCAAATATTAAAAGGAGGAGTTTGAAGACTGTGGTGAAGAAGCCTGAGGCAGCATTGCAAAGTCTGTAAAACTTGCGAGAAGATGAAACAGAAACACAAACAACAACGCAGCCTAGGATCCCCAATCAAGCATGTTAGATCGAATATGACGACCTTCTGAAGGACATCAAGCACAAGGCAAGCGCGCACAAGACGCCCACAATTCAAATGAGACGTTTTGAGAAGTGGTGGCGTCTTTCGACTCTTTGCCCATGCATTGGCATGAGTCCTGGGGTCTCGATCGAGGTTTGCGCTGGAGCCTTTTGGGTTTCACGGAAGTAGGCCGTAACCCTCTGCATATAACCAGCAAACCGTAGCCTGCGGCGCGTGCCACAGCTAGGTCGATAACCGCACCCAGTTAATGCAAACGCTGATCCGACTACTCGTAAACCTGTTCTGAAACGTGGGTCTTAACCCAGAACAACTTGTACCTAGCTAGCTTCTGTTTTGAGCTGTGCTGCGTGTGCACAGACGTCTGCATTCCACTCTGTCACTGAAATCCTGATTCCTGCGTGAGGTTGCAAAAGCACGCTCTGCCAGGTTGCCAGCTCGTGTTCTGGAGCAAACAGTTCCCCACTCAAGTCCTGCAGCTCGTTTTCACCCCGGTCAGAGCGGCTGTGCGAGCCTTCTCGTCACCTCCGTGCGTGACTGCTGACAGGAAGATTACAAACCTTCACAACAAAAAAAGCCGCTTCCTGCCGCTTCTTGTGAGGCGTGCGAGGATTGCACTGTGTTTGTGCTCTGCTGAGGTCGATCAACCCACAGCGTGGTCATCAGCTTTGGCATACACCACCACAACTCTCTTGCGATGTTCAAAAAGTAAGTGCGCCTGCCACAATTTGACGCGCCAGTTCTACGTTAGGCTGACCTGAGGAATCTTTCCAAGAATTGGATTCAAATACTTCGTTTATTACAGTATTTTAAAAGAAGCCGTGCCGTGGTTGAAACTTTCAATGAAAAGTCGAGTTCCATGCAGAAGACCCCTCTTTCAGGACGCAAAGCATTGAAGTTGTTATATGATCTCTGTGCTTTGTGGCTTGGTTGTCACTATCTGGTGATTATCTTGATGGCACCATTACCAAAAATGGGGTTCTCAACTGAAATGATGAAGTCCCAACTGTTGATACGCCCTAGAGTACTTCAATGGAAGTTTGAGGTGAAAGCGGGTCAGTACTTCAATGATGAAATTGCCAAACATTGATACAAGCAATTGTCCTCAAGGTTACGCAATTCGCGCGGATGCCCCGAGATGCTGCAAAGCTACGAAGCGACTTTCTCAAAAAGCGGGGCGATCAGTCGAAGTTGCCTAAACGGGCTTCGGTGCTCCTAAAAAATGGTTGTGTCAGGATGTTCCACCAATGTTCCCCATTCAATCCGAGAGCCACTTTTAGATGCTCATATCCTTCTGTGTGGACTGCAGATTCACCCATGAGGAGGTTTCGGGGCAGAACCAAGTGAAATCCTCAGTGCAGAGGAAGATCCGGCAGAGTATCGCCGATCAGGTGCGTGCAGTCGGTGGTGAACTTTTCCGTCTACAGTAGTGAATCTACTTTTCTGTCAACAACTCTCTCCTGTCGAGATCTCACAGGAACCTGTCTTTAAGATAGCTGGAGTGTGTGAGATCAGAGTTGGTCTTCGGAAGTGGTGCCACTGATTGGGGCGGCATCGCCACCGGACTTTGAGGGGCCAAAGGCATACTTATCTGGTTGCCGTAGCCAGAACTGGAGGCTCCCTTGAGCATGCACAGTGCCTAGCCTGGTATGCCATCCCAAAAGCTAATATTAAAGTTTCTGCTTTCCGGACCTTAGATTTTAAGACTAAAGTTTTTCTTTACAACCAGGGTGTCCGGTCAACGGGTCCATCCTCGGGTGTCACTTCTGTTGTTGACCGTGTCGAGGTTGTTACAATCAAAGAGCCGCATAGTTTTGTTGAAACGTGTGTTGAAAGCTTTGGGTAAACTGCGCATCAGAAAGTTGTGCATCCTCGTTTTGGAGCTCAGTGGAATGTCCGCTCTCCTACAGCCTTGACTCTGGCTGCTTTCAGTGGGGCTAATCACCTGTCAAACATACAGAACGATCTGGCCATTGCCAACCCGTACTTTAATGAGGGCGTCAGATGTCAAGGTACACTCGTGCATCTGAGTCCTGAGGGAAAACTTCATCTGACGGCTGAGATTCCATCTCGAAAAGTGCCTTCGGCGACCAAGCTGGCCCTGATTTGGGGCAATTTGGTCGCTTGCTGTAGGACCAGTCCTGTGACGCCCTCTTTAAGGGGTCTCCCGAATGGCTGAGAGCCCTTTGAAGGTGCACCGCTGACATCATCCCTTCCCGTTTTGCAGTATCCTCTGCTCGAGCCTGTCTTAGACGATCTTCTTCCAAAAAAGGAGCCTCTGATCGTTGCTAAGTGGTGAGCACGACAAGAAAAACTCCGCTTTTCTGATGAATCTGGTGCTGCTATAGTATCGCAAGAATTGCGTCCATCCGACTTCAGTCGTTCTTCTGAAGCTTCTGCATTGAAAGCGCTGTCGAAACATGCATAAAGTTGAATCCAAAGCAAAGCTTGGGTACTTCTTAGTGATTGCGCAACACGTCAGCTGCTGCCTCAAGCGGCTTCTGTTAAAAGCTATTCTCCTCTCCCGCGCCTCCAAAAACGGAAAATGTTGTATCCCTCAAAGCGTTGACTCTGCAAGTATATGAAAACGACTCTCGTCAGAATGTTCGGATCCTCCTTTTTCGTCTTCTGAGTGCACCTGCTGATGTTCTAAGACCGTTCCTCGTTATCTGGTTGGCAGTCAGAACCACCTAAACCTCGTCGTCATCAACAACGTTCCCCTCTTCTTCAACATCCGGGATGGCCCTTACATGCCAACACTCCGCTTACTGCACCAGTGTGAGCCGCCGAATTCTCGCCGCATGCCCGACCTTCGAAGAGTTTGCATGGAGTGAAGTGTGCGTCTTAGTACGTCAGTCGTCAGGCAGCGTCACCTGTTTGAAAATATTATGCGCACTTACGGGACCCTTGAAAACACCGAAGTACGAGTCTTTCTGTCGGAAGCTTGTGTGCCGAGTGTTGGCATCTTCTCTCTTCTTCTCGTATTCCGTTCCTTTTTCGCTCTCTTTCTTTACTACGATCATTCAGTCCGGAACAACCCCACGACGCCTCAACTCTGCTACGGCCTTGCCAAGAGGTTGCAAACGGTCGGAGACGAGAGCAATAGAAGTGTCAGCAGAAAATCATGAGCATGCTTATCATCGCATTCACCTAAGCTCTGCCCCGGCAAGTCGGCATGCAGAGCATTTCATACAACAAAAGCATTGTCAAACTGGTGAGCTATCCTCCCGTGTTCACGACCGTCGATTCATTGGTTTGCGCAGATCCGACGGTCATGAAACGGGTGCGGGTCGACCGGGGCGCTATCAAGTTCGTGCTATCCGGAGCGAACATCATGTGTCCTGGTCTCACGTCAAAAGGCGGCGCGCTAGAAGACGAAGTGGATGCAGAACAACCGGTGGTGAGTCGTCGCTTGTGCTTAGAAATTCACTCTCCGTTCGGAACGTCAGAGCGTCAAGTTTTCTGTTTGTAAGGTTCGAGAACCAAAAGCTGACGTGTCAAATCGGACGTCAGAATCTTGGGACAGAAGTCTCATTCCAGGCGAGAAATCACGGTGGTTTGTTCTCGAGGGCCACCATGGCAATACTGCAGGTTTTGTCAAGTCCGGCCAACTCGATCGACTTCCTTCGTAGTGATTGCAGCCCTCACCTTCGAACGGCCGAGCTTTTGATGTATGCAGCTTTGAACAACTAGACTCTTTTGAAGCGCACTTCTGTGGTTGCCGTCGATTAGAGTTAGGTATTGCGGCCAGCCGTTGAAGATTGTAGCAGCTTCAGCTGGCACCGTCCACTCACGTCTTTAAAAGGGTCGCTGTTCAAAGCCGAGTTTGAAGCCATGATGCTCATAAACTCAGACCGTCGAAGCTGTCACGAATGGAAAAGCGGTCCGCTGGTCGACTCCGTATTCGATGAATGTATTTGTCAGCCGGTAATCAGCCAAGGAGCTTTCTAAGAACCTTGTTTGGAGTTCAGCTCATCAAGCGGACAACCAACTTACAAAGCAGTTGCAAAATTGATTGCAACGTTTTTGGTTCCTGGCGGGACAAGGTCGAGTGTGGGATGTCCGTTCTGTTTGTTGGCCCTTCTCCGATCAATCAGCGTACTTCACTTGGACGTTTGATAGAATTGGACGAGCCGGCACTGTCAATCAAAACCGTCGTCTCGTCCACATCTGCAACCATGTAAAGTGTGATATTCACGCCAAGGCTTTCTTGCGCTGCTCGTTGCTGCTTATTGCCAATGTCGTTGAACTCAGCGCCTGGGATTATGCAGGCAATTCACGCAGAGGGGAAAGAGCTTGCGCTTGCGATCGGCATGACAAAAATGTCGACGGGGGATATGTAAGTGCTCGCTGGCTTGTCTTCTCGCTGCAGATTTCAGGAATCTGCTTTCAGTCTGCTTGCTTTCTTGTGCACTGGAGCGTATGGAATAGCGTCTGATCTCTGCATTTGCAAGTGCTGCAACTATATCTGTGCGGGAATGAGAGACGCCATTGTTGCTTGTGGGTTCCGAGCCGGTTCTTTTAATCTTCTGAGGTCTTCAGGCAGTACTGAAAAGGCAAGGGCAAGTTAGATTGCTTCTGATTGATGCTTGTTAGAAGTTCCTGGTGTCACAGCCTGCTTTTCGAAAGTGCGTTCTTCCAGACAGCCTTTATTGAAATCTCCCCTCACCTTTTATGCAGAGCGAAAATAAACAAGGGAATTGGGGTCGACAATATTCACTATCTAAACGACGGCCTTTGGAAGGTTAGCACCCCTTTTACGCCCTCCCTCCTCGTCGAGCTGATTGTTTTTCCCCGTTTCTACAACAACTTTCCAAAAGTGCATGAGGCAGATTACCGCTTTGCGCATCGTTGTCCTGCTTTGAGCCGAGCACGTTCTGCACAAGTGCACATGTTAGAATGGTTGCGATTGCGGGAAGTGCGGTTTCATCGAATTTTCGCTGCCCGTCCAACCCTCAATAAGGCGCTGCTTTATCGTTCTTTCTGAATTCTTTTTCCAAAGTGCTCAGGATAAGGATTTTTTTTTTTTTTTGCAGACGCTACATCTAGATTGAACCTTTCCTCGAGGAGCCTTGTCGACTTGATAGGCCTTGTATATTTGACCATCTACCTAGTGACGAAGCAGAAGCAGCTTCTGTAACGCCTGACACCGATTGAGCTAGAGCTGAAGAATTCCTGAGGTGCGGCAGGTGCCTTATGTCTGCATGGACGCACTTCAGTCGTCGATGATGGCCGCAGAAGTCATGCAACAACTCGGATGCCAAGGCGCGGCATGTAGCGTTGTCCGCCTAGGTCGCGGCATTTGCCATGCATCATGCTGAGTTTGGTGTGTACTAATAGTAAAGTAACGGCGTACTCTTCGTCGAAGTCCCTTGTGTCCCATGTTGACATGCGGCATATCATGTGAGCGACACATGGTTCCATTTTCGACATGTATATAAATTATTGCTTCAGGCCGCAGTGCTCAATCGCACATGAGACTATGATATTTAACCATCTCAGTTGTCATGCATGCACATAATTGAATGTACAGCTGCATGGCCGTCCACATGTTTTTCAGGCGGCCCCCGTGGCCAATGACGGCACTGCATCCGGTGTTCAAGCTAGTGCATATTAAGTAGCTCTTGCATTTCTTCTATGCGGCCTAGCAGACCGTATACATTGGCTTGCCTCTCTAGTATACTTCAATAAGTTGAGTTTCTAAACTTGGTAGGCCAACGCAACAGCCATCGTCGAATGTGTATGCTTGGGCATAGGGCGGGTGGCATGCCAGGCAGGTCTCTTTCAATGTCACAGTGCGGACTCTGGTTTCAGGTATTTACATAACGATCTACGCTAAAATTGGTAAGGTGTTTGAATGTCTCCCAATCTGTCATGTGGCTGCTTAGGGATAGGGCGGCTCCGACCTTAGAAGATGAAGACAATCCCGTCATGAATGCGCGCCTTCTGGTTCTGTGCAACACATTCTGAAATCCACATGATGTTCCGAATCTCCTGCTCTTTCAACCTTACGTAGGCAAAGAAGACAGCGTAGTGGAACTGCAGGGAAGAAAGAGATAGTGAGTGCAGACAAAGACCAGTAACGTACTGAATGAGCTGTTGTTCGGGTATATGCGCCTGTTCTGACATCGTCTCTCGAAGCAACTGCTGACCAGATTCTACCTCCTCGAGACTCGAGTCTGCAGTGGCTTGCTCATACTTCAATCTGAGTCAAGCCGGTTAAATACGAGTTTTGTACTGATCTGGTGCTTTCCCAAACGAACAATTCCACCAAGATTGCACAAGCTCCAGAAGGAAAACTTTGGCGATTGAGGGCGTAATGGGAACCCCCACCGACAAGAAGCCCTGCAGAAGGGATAAGCCCGCCACCAACAAAGAAGTCTCTGACAAGTCGCCACCGACAAGGTGCCTTGGAAGATGCATGGATCGTGGCTCACCTGTTGCTCGTATCCCAGAACGCACGCCTTGACCTCCGCCTCGTAGAAGGCCTTGTCCAAGATCTGGCTCTCACCAAACTGGAGCTTCGAGAAGATGCTCTGGTAGGGGGGGTACTTCTCCATCGCCGCACGCACCTGCAAAAGGGAGAGCAGCCATTAAAAACAGCTTTGAAAGCAGCCTTTAGAATGCGTTGTTAGGGGGTATTGTTTCCATTGCCCGCACGCACCTTCATCTAACGGAAAAGCACCCTAATCGTTTCTTCGAAGCCTATGCTCCTTCTAACGAGAAAAAAGCAGGGGCCGACTGCAAAGCTGAAAACACACAGGATCTGGAGGGCTGGGCCCTGGAAACGCGGATGCCGAAACCGAGTACCAACTCGGGTGCTGAGGAACTGAGTAGGGTCGCAGATGATGCTGTGAGGAGAACGGTGCTTCAAGAAACACTATAAGCAGCCGGCAGAAGAACCTCTCCGAAAGGAGACTGAAGCATCGCTTTTGCAAATACGTGAGTTCACCGTGAACGTATCACAGATGAAGGTGTTCTTCGGGAGCAATTTAGAATGATCCCAAAGGTACCACAGCACAGGGATCGCTGAAACAGGCAGGACGAACGGTCTGAAAGCCCTAAGAATATGCACCTGGTCGAAGTCTTCACAGACCGCCAATTCTTCGTGGCCGTAAGGATACCTGCATGAGCAAGAGGGCCCCATGAACAAGAAGTCAGGAAGTACACACATCTTTTTGATAACACGTATGCCACTTACGTCTACACGATAAGCTTGTTTGTACTTTCAAAGCCGGCCTCGAAGTAGGACCGTTAACTCAGCAGCTACATCCTGCGGCTGAAGAAAGCACGAGCAACACAAGGAGCGACACTGGCATGCAAGCAAGGCTCTGCATCCGCCCAAGGTGTGAATCAAAATCCTTCAAGGTGTTTCCATATCTTCCAGAGTGAGATTCAAAAATTGGTGGCCAGAGTGTGGTAACGAGAGACAAGTACACTTATGGAGAGAGTCGTTCTTCTCAATGCGGATGGCAACCAACGAACGAGTGCAGAGCCGGTTGCGAAGGACTCACAAGAGGCCGAAGTGTGAGAACAGCTTGCGCCGGTCGTCCCGGGTGAGCTCTGTCCCGATGCTGCACAAACCAAATCACAGATTGTCAAACTTGCCGAACCACTTTCCCGGTCCGCTGTGAATGCTCGGAAGAGAGGCTTAAACACACACGTTGCGAACAAACCGCATGGGACATCACTTATGCTCAACAACCGTTAGCCTCTTCCGTTGAAAAACAAGGCAGGTTTGCTCAAGCGGTATTGCACCTAGTCCCGATGACTCGGAGGTGGCTGGGTTCGACCCCAGAGCCTGCGAGATCGGTTGGAAGCACGAGAGCAAAGCCCTTCTTGACGAGGTTCGACTTGCCTGTTGATTGTGATGTTGATGGCTCGTCTGTCAGCCTCGTATGCGAGAAGGTCGCACATGATTGTAGCAGTTGCACCCCCCAGCTTCTGCACGATACGACCCAAGGAATCCGTTCAGAGAATCCCTCATCCAAATAGCAGGCTTTTAGTCGAAAGATCAAAGTCTCAAGCGCCACATCCATCAGGAGTTGGGGCCACCACATCTTGTGGCCTTTCCTACCATACCGTGACACGACTCTCTATGAAATGCTCAGCAAATGGGCGTTTCAAGAAAAGCGTGATTCATCTTCAATCAAGAGGAAGAGGACATTGGGCCAGACAATTGCTTTATACGTCGCACTTGTCAGAAGGCACTCACTTTGCAGAAGTTGTAAAAGTCCTCCAGATACGCTTTGTAGAGCGTGTTCCTCATGATCTCAATGTTCATGTCATCAAGGTCCTGATGTGAACAACAAAGGGGAGTGAGGGCTGGTAGGGTGTGCACAAAGGAAAGAGGATGTGCAGGAAGAGCGGATGCCTTCGAACAATTACACAACAATCTGGGGCCTCTTTCTTGTCGCATAACAGCCCTCACTAGACGGTGAAGGTCAGAGAGGCTGGAGGTTGAAATAACCAGTTGAGACAACCTCGTAGAGACATTTTCAGCAACCAGAGATGAGAGGTGTAAGTATGACATAAAGAGAATCGGCCCTGTTGCTACAATTGCGGAGAAGGGGTTGACAAACTAAAACAGCCTGCAATATTGGTGGATAATAGCTGGTTCTTCTATCTCCGACTAGTATATAGCACCTTGACTCTCGCTTCCTGCTTCTTCTCACCTCCGATGTGACGCACTCGGCAAAGTACGGGGCGAGCGGGGTGTCAACCAAGACAAGCCTGTAGAGCTCGCGCATGTTTGATGCAACTGCCAGGGTAGCAATACTGCAGCAAAGGATACGGTTAAATCATTTGTAAGTGGTGCAAAGAAACTTCCGTAGGCATTTTCAGATTTCAAATCTGTCTTTATGATCACTGATCCAGCGTTGGCAGAGTGCCGCCCAGAGTATGCTGGGTGAAATTTAAAAAGCAATATGCAGTTTTAGAACCTCGGTCACATCGCTCACCTATCAAACATCCCAAGCGGATGGCATTTGTCCAACAATTCTTGGACATCCCGCTCGTGGAGAGTCCCCGAAACAATGAGCACGATGTTGTCAATCATATGTCCATACCTGCACACAACTTGAGGTGCTCGTTGCAAGGGAATTTGCAAATCCAGAGAGACAGGGTGCCTGGCAAAGCAAGAGAAAAAAAAAACAAACAAATCAAACGCATCTGCAAACATCACACAATCAATCGTGCTCGCAGACGGTATTCTTAGAAAAGTCCTTTGCCAACATGAAGTACTCACGTGACATAGTCTAGGAAGGTTGCGAGAGGCTCGGATGCCTGTGTGCGCATGTAGCTGAACTCGCTGACGAGACTCTGTGTACATTTCTCCACAATTGTAGCTGTGTGCAGCGGGGAGGGCTCTGTGAACCAGGAATAACACTAAAGGTCAGAAATAGATTGAGCCGCAGTTTCAGAGTAAACCTGAGCTTTAAAAGAGTCCACATTGACCAACACCTTTGAGAACCCTAGATCCTCAGCCAGCTGACTTGTTTCAAAATGACTTGCCAGATCAGACGCGTCCACGTGTTCAGCTTCTCCGGGGCAGATCTTTGAAGCGGTGCTTACGTTCTGTGCTCCTCTATACCAGCTCAATGAGGAAGGCACTCACTTTATAGAAACTGAAGCTGTGGCATACTTGAAGAATTGAAGCACCCAGAAAGTCCCACTCACCATTTGCCAAAAAGTTTCCGTAGTCTGTGCCTGAAAGCTGAAGCTTGATGTCATCAAGTGTCTCGCATTGGCACAGATTGTTGTAGTCAATTGCTGAGAGCAAGCCTGCTTTGTATCCCCTCACTATGGCCTCCAGAAATCCATCCTTGATGTTGAAACTCATCGCTTCAAACCCGTACATGCTCATCTTGCCCAGAGGGTGCTGAATCCGATCTTAGGCCGCCTCGATTGCTGCTGCCGTTACTCGACTTTCTCAGGATTGATCGCATTCAGAATAACATATCTTCTTACGCAGACAGACACAGGATGCACGAATTGGGCCCTTTCAGCGACCAAACTTGATCCCAGAAGAATGCTCGTGACGTGACTAAGAAGCTGACCCTTGTCCAAAAGAAGACAATATAAAGCGCCTAGTACTCAAGGGGCTCACTTACGATCATAGACCAAACACTTGAAAGTTCTCAAGTAACCAGGAGAGGAGGCGCTATTGCTGCTGCTCTGCCATGCTCTGCTGGGACTCAAGACTCGGAATCAAGGTTTGCCCAGTTTTGGTTTGTAGGTAGGTAGGTAGGTGATTGGAGGTTTTCCGTGACCACAAATTGCCTTCAGAAGTCCTCGAGCTGACCTAATATATGTGCTATTAAATACCTATGGTGAATCTATAGTATTCATACGCACTGAGAACCCTCAAAACTACGGTACACAACGTATTGGTGGCCTTCTCTTGGGTCTAGCCTGCAGACTCTACCTACGGTAGTGTCAAGTTCTCCACTGAGCAACTATGAATAAGGTAATATAGAATTTTTCCTTGCATAGGATTTAGCTACCTACATATAGTCAGGATTTCAAGGCCGACTGCCAGGATTTCGTACCTTCGAAAGCGTCCTTGCACGGACTCGGATACTAATAGCAGATCTTGGCACTTCCACATGGGGAAATGCAGAGCTGAGCAGCGCACAGTGCACAGTGCGATCTTGAATGCAGCTCAAAGGCGCAGATCTGATGTATGAGCAAAGGGCACCTTGTAAGGCCACATCAGCTCAATGCGACCAGAAGGAAGCAGACGCTGTCCGCAGTACCTGGACCCTGCTGGTTTACACCCGGACTTTTCTCCGCTGTGATCGGGGTTTCCTTGCACAATTCCCGCAAGCAACAAGTAATCTTTGCAGTCCTCAACTTTGATACAGCAATGAGCACGTCCTCCAAACAGGAAATGCTGCAAGTATATGCATTTCTCTGCAAGAAGGGCACTCTGATCAAGTCAAACAGATCCTGATGATCTTCGGTATAAAACCCGCTTTCATGGCGATCGCAATCATCGCCGCCTGTGCTAGAGGTGTCAGTCCTGTGTGTCTCAGCCAGCCTGCCGAAGCAGAAATGGTGGCAACTGTGAATCCAAAGGCTGAGGAGCTGATGCAAGCAAAGTCACGGTGGAAACTGCTCCAGGTGGGAAGGCACATCTGATGGCTTGTGCTACATTAGTATGACAAGTACTCATATGCTTTTATTGCAATCCGATCAGAACCTGTGACTGACTTCTCAAATGGGACTCTCAAACCTTCAGATGTGGAGCTGGGGCTCGAGGCCATAGTGGTAGTGCATTCATCCTAGTGTACCTTGATGTCCTGGATTTGACAGGTAGTGTGGTGGTCATATACTACTATTTAAAGACCTTCTTACTCCTGCGCAGGCCCACGTGCTCTTCCGCCACGGTGATCGTAGTCCAAATGTCAGGAGCGCCTATGCCAGCTCAATCCCAGCAAATGTGAAGACCTTATGGGCCCATCGTCTTGTGGACATTGAAACCTTTGAAAGGCAGAAGTATGTTGAGGGAGGCAATCCTTTCCCTTTTGGACTCTTGACCAAGAAAGGGGCTCATCAGGCTTATGAGTTGGGCCAGCGGTTGCAGATCAGGTATGGGGATCTCATTGAGGGCAATAGTGCAGAGGCAGGGTCGAACTTAGTGATAAGATCTACCAATTATGCACGCACTCATGCTTCGGCACGGTTTGTTTTGACGGGGCTTCTGGACTCGGAGGAGGCGGCTCAGCGTCAACAGATTACTTTCATGGCGGACGATGAGGAGAGCTTGTATCCAAATCCAGCCTGTAAGAGGTAAGACTAACTTGCAAACATGGTCATATAGAGCAGCTCACTTGTATTCTGGCCCAATCACATGGTTCTCAAATTCTGGTCAAACGATTTTTACGAGAATCCTCATGAAGATGGAGCGTGAAGCCGAAGGTCTCTCACCTGTCATTGTTCAGTTGGGGGGCTTTGTCAAAGAGGCGCCTCCGAGATGCCACAAAGAAAGAAGACTCACCAGAAGCATACAAGTGGCATGCGCGGCTTGAGGTGAGTTGGTCATAAGTTCTTATGCGATCTTCACAAGTTTGGAAGAAGCGAGTGTAATCTGTCTAATGGTCAATCAAAGTATGTACGAGGAGTTTATGAGCCAATTGCTGTCCATCTCGGAGTCTCCGTCCACCACGAGATACCTAAGCATGCACCGGGACTGACTCGAGCTACTTCGCTTTGCAGCATATCACGGGCCCTACGCTGAAGCACTTCCATATTCCTCCTCGGAAGTTTCCTTGGTTGATTGTGAGTATTCCAACTGTGCCTGAGTAACTGATCAGACCACTGTCCTGCAGCCACCAGTCACAGGAATTATCAGCTTTCCTGCTGACGACAAGGACTGGCTTCGGCGTGCACTGTGTAGCCAAGAATGCAGATACTGCTCACTTCAAAATGTGAAGCCAGAATATCCAATGAAGGTGGTTTTTCAAACACCGAGGTCCAAGTTCAGGAGGTTCGCATCCTGTGTTTGAATGAATAAGGGCATGGCTTTTTGAATGGCTTCGAAGCAATCTTTTGCATCTCGTCAGAGCCCTTGCACTTTCGTATCATTTTTCGGAGCTTCCAAGTTGTTCTTGGAAGCTTCGCCTTTACACAGGTCTACTTTTCTGATCGTAGTTGATGGACGCACTCATCTGTGCGGAAGCTCATGGTGACCCTTGGCCAGACGTTGTCAAACCCGCCGACTTTAAAAAAGTGAAAGAGATGAACGCTGCTGAGGTCTCGGACATATTCAGTGTGAGTTACTTTGCTCTACTCTGTTCCGCCTGTTGATTGACTCCTGACAATCAACGAACCCCTGTTGCGGCTGGAAACTCGTTGAGAAAACCTTGTCGATTGCAGAACCTGACCACGAAGAAGCCTTGAGGATTTGGTATCGACTCCGACTTACGATCGACATCCGTCTTTTTATGTTGATCCATCAGTGTCCAGTGTACCGCTCATCTTCTTTGTTGCGATCCTCCGGGGTCGTCCCCCTCTGATGCATCGCAGAGCTGACATTACAGATGGCAAAAGATCAACACTCAATTTCGTCGTGCAGGACCAGGATATCTGCCAGATCGCCATGGGGAATCTGATCGGGGAGCTGCTTCAGCATCTGAGCACGAAGGTGGACAGTCACGAGCGTCCGGGACCCCCCCGATTGCTGCTTTATTCGGGGCATGACACCACTCTCTTGCCACTCTGCGGTAAGCTCGAGATAAATCTAGGATCACGATGGACAATTTGCGTCCTTTGAACCGTCGAAGCAACGGTCAGGTCCACCGTGGGTCCGCATCAGATTCCTTCGTTGAGGTTTTGACTGGTCTATGGCTCATCGAACTTTGTTCAGGACAATGAATCCTGTAATTCAGGACGTGTCTGCCAGGTCGTTGAGTACCGTGCCTCGAAGTTGTTATTTGCAATCTCGTACAAGAGCTCGCAGCTGCATTGTCAGTAGACGAACTGAGACGAACATTTTTTCTGCGCCCGTGCATGGTCGACTTCTGACCGCTTCGGCTTTCTCGCTTGCTGCAGCTTGTCTTGGCGTGCCCCTCAAGACTTGGCCCGGGTACAGCTCGGATCTTGCAATTGAGCTTTGGCTTGATCAAGAGTCGGACCAGTTCTTCGTTCGAGTCCTCTACGAAGGTCAGGAGCTCCCTCTGCCAGACGAGCCCCCAAAGGATGGAGAAAGCTGGCCCGGAAAGGCCCCCACAGAAGGGAAGACCCTGTGTCGGTGGCAGGATTTCAAACGAATAGCACAATGGTCCTACATCCCGCCTGACGAGGTTAAGAGGAGATGCAACGCAGTTCCGGTTGATAAGGCTGCCTTGGCCGGCGTTGTCAGCTCGGGGGGGGGTTCATTTGATTCTTCCAAGCTCTGATGTCTTGCTTGAGGGGAGCGAGGCTCAGGCGAGGACTTGTAGATTGTAAAATTCGTCTTGATTAAGCCTCGATCAGCGATTCTGACATCCTCTATTAGTCATTGACGGAGGAAAGAATGGTTTACCCAATTATCTGATGTACATGCTTACATAGCCAGTAGCGGAAGTAGTGTCCTTAGAAGTACAGCAAGCTCCATATTGGGAATGCGGTCAAGCATACAATGGCAAGCCTGATGAGCGAGCATGCACCAGATTGTCATCTTTGTAGGCACATTATGATTCTAAGTTGATACCTTAAGTTACATAGGCGTGCTGAGCATACAGCAAGAACTCCGAGGTCGCAATCGCAATCTGTTGAATCTCTATTGGTTTCTCTGGCAGAAACTTAGCTTTTGTAGCTCAAAAATATGCCCTCATAGATCACAAGCTACCTATGGTGGGTGTCGACGGTATCGACCGCGTCACGGTCCGGTATCAAATCTGATTGACCGGTGTCACGCGTCGCGACAAATGTTGTACGCAGTACTAACGACCGTACTCGGCGGTACTTGAGAATTGGGTCCGAGTTCATGAATGGAAGTTTTTCTGACACGTCGATAAACGGGCAATTGCGTACTAGCCGGAGGTACGGTACCGTCGCGCGAGACTTGAGTCTGCGCGTCCAAATAATTTGAATTTCATGGTCTTGGTCGGAACTTCCGACTTGTACCGAGCAAGAGTACCGCGGTACCCAGAGTGAAAGAAGAGTGCAGAGATTTGATAAAGGAGTGTAAGAGAAGGCGCTGTTCAAAATCCAACGATGGCGGCCAACTTTGCGCCTCCTATGCTGCTACTTGAGATTTGTCCTGAACAAAACATGATGTTGGAGCTTCCAAGGACACCTAATGACACCCCCCCAACATTTTTTTTCGCTTGTCAGAGGTTTCTGCATGTTGCATAAGCCTCGTCTTAGTGTGGCATTTTGATGCTTTCGTCAAAGTGTAAAATATTACACTCTTTAACAATTTCATGACACTCACTTACGGCCGAGCAATTTTTTCTGAGTACTCGAATCGTACATGTTTCGGAAGTCCGAGTCACCGTGACGTAAACCGCCGGTACTACTGACAGAATTTGATACCGGGTCCCACATTTTCGTTGCGGTTGGAGTCGGAGTCGACTCGGCCGGAACCCACCGTAGGTAGCTTGTGATGTAGCTTGCTTAGATATGCACTGTAAATTCTCGAGGTATGCATGAACGCCATAAGCCACGCTAGCAGAGCGCTGCACGGAGCACGATCGAATTGGCACAAGCGGATATTGATCTACTTTGCTGTTGAACTTCGATGCACTCCCGGCTGTCTGGAAACAAACAAGCATATGATACAGAGGCCTCAGAACTTTGGAAACTTCGGAATCCAAGCCCTCATTGTCGATTGTCCAGTAGATCGGATGTGTCCACTGTCCAAAGCGTGTGACAGGCCGTCGATGTAAATGCGAGGTACCTAGATCTACGGCAAAGAATGACCTATAATCTAGAGCGGATATGTTAACAGTTACAGGGCGTCATAAATGTGCATAATGCAGGGCTGTTGTCGAACTCGAGCTGCAAGCCCACAATCGACTCGGGAAAAATGGGATTATCTCGATTTTAGATTGGGTTGAGAGCCCCGGGAGGACGCATTGAACCGAAACCATAAATACAAACTCCTGAGTTTCGAACTCATCCCCTCCCTAACCTCCAACCGTCCCCCGGGCACTGATCCACCTCCACCTGGTATCTCGGTCAGCCTGGACACGATTTTATACAGGATGCGGTCGCCAATGATGCCATCGCTGCAGGTGCCAGCCTCCAGGGCGCTCACGCAAGCGATCCAGCTCATGATCATGTGATTAATGTGCAGTGCTTTTCAATTCACTAAATACAGTACCAAGTTGTGGATGAATCATGGCCGCCATTCAAGTTCATGTGGGGAGAGCCTTAGGGCTTTGATTATGACAGCTTGCTCGGCACTTCTTGCATGATCAGTCTGCATTATTAGCAGCTAGATAAAGCGTGAAGGCCGAGTCCAGCGTTTCCATAATCCCAGCAACCTTCGCCAAACAGGAACCTATCGAGTATCCCATTGCGCAGAGGAGTTCCTGTCCAACTGGATCGGAGTTAGCACCTGCCTTTCTTGAAGGATATGGAGGGCATGCCACCGAGCACCTTGGCGACGCATGGTAAGACCCAACGATGAATCTTTCGCCAGAGAAATTGCAGCTTGTTTACAAGCTGGCTTGTATCTTGGTGCATCCAATGACAAATTCCTTTTTTTCCTGGTTTCAGTGTGCATCCATGTTAAGAATTGGGAGCTGGACTGTGTCCACAGAATGCAGGAAATCGAAGAATTCGCAATGGTGCTAAGCAGCATTCTACAAGCACAACCAACATGTAGTCAAGGCAATGTGAGATTGCATTCCGGGTCTTGCCATCCAGACCATGATTTGATCACCTCGTGTGGTCTCTCTTTCCCTCATGTTTTTCCTTATCATATAACCAAATCTGCCAAGCATTACGGACGAGCCTCCAATTGGCACCAAATCATAAGTGATGCAGCTCGATCTGTCTCTGGAATTTGGCCCTCGTGCTTGAACCTCAAGACTTGTGGTGCAAACAGTCTGGGCCAACAGGATTGAAACATATGTTGACATCGCAAGTCATTTGGCTTCCCAGAGGTGTACATGCTTCTCGTCCTCCTTTTGGTCATTGGCTGCAGAATGAGGACCATCTTTCAAGATCCCAGAGGCTGCGTATCAGGCACGGGGCTCCTAAGCCTTGAGAAGCACCTACAGCTCCTGCCTCCTTGCGAAGGCTGCTTTCTATTTCTGGTCCTTGTTGCAGCTCTATTTTCCTGACACGCTGGGTATCTATGTTGTGCAGGGGCCATGAGTGAGCGAAGAGGTGATGCTGTTTTAGAGGACGACTGCCCTTACCCGCCTACACCAGGTCGCCCCTGGTGGCTTACCATTCTAGGCCTACCTTTGCTTATCATCCTGTGGGCCTTCAAATGGGTCTTCAAGCAGCGCCTCCAGTATGCAATTGTGGAGAACGGGATGCTTAAATACGCTCCGAGCGTTTTGGATGCTCAACAAGGATTTTATAAGTTCCCATTACTGGGGCCACGGCTTATCCGGAAGGCGTTTGAGGTAGTACAGGTGAGGAGTCATCATGGAAGTCAAGTGCTTCTGCTCATCCCCACTTGTCAACAGTGGAACTCGCCTCTCTGGTCAACATACAGACTGGAGTTGCTAAGGATGGGTTTGCAGAAAGAATAATAGATGAGGTCTTAATAGTTTGATGGTGCAATATTTAGCAAACATATCTCTCTCTCGTGGATTGAATCTTTGGCTCCTGTCCTTAGAATGCCTTCCTACTTTGGATCATGCTAAGGCAGCAAGAAAGATCTTCTTTTTTGTTTGATCATATTTGTCAAAGATTGACGACGGTCGCAGCCTTGTCCCTCGCAGGGGTTGCTCAGCTGAGATTCTTCATCCTTAGGTGCTTATGGAGGCCTGTCCCAATTTTTCCTGCAGAGCAAAGTCTCCTACCCTCCTCAACACCTCATGTCCAGTGCTCCTTCCAACTCTCCCGGGATTCTCACAGTCCTGAAGACAGACAGCAAGCTTGATGGACAATGCAAGTACAAGGACATCTTGACCTCTGACGACACTCCGGTAAATCTCTGCACAATCTCTTCATACTGTGATTGCCTCAGGGCTGCAGGTCTCACCCCGATTTGCCGCTTAATCACACTCTTTGGGAGAATCTTGCGTTTGTTGTTTTGGGTTCCCGTATTAGTGCATTTAGAGCCTTTCCATACACTGACAAGTCAAGGTCACCGAATAGCCACTTACTCTCCAAAATCCCACTGTGGCGTCCAGGTACTTCCTGCTCAGCCCCGTATCTTCCGAACAGGTAAAGACTCAATATTCACTTACTAGCCTAGCACCAAGCGCCGGTGTGTTTGTTCCCGTGTACTCTGGTTGGTTCTTACTTAAGAGCACCAGTCTTGCTGCACTACCAGGTGGGACCCTCATGATTGCGCCTGTATCTCTACTCTAAAGCAATATTTAGCTTTGTTGCACTAATCTTCTTGGACAGATTGCTTTGAAAAAGCACAGCCTCTTCGAGCCCACTGCAAGCGATCCTCAGAATCTTCCTGAGCGCTAGGCCTTCAAATACTAAAGTCTACGTCTCGAACCGTCAAAGTCCGATAATTTGAGGTTCAATCTTGTTGACCCCAAAGTTTTGGCACTTTTTCTTTGTAGTGGACGGCTTTGGCAACTGTCCTTACAGCCCGCACATCGGTCAGGCAGCACAGCCCTACAGCTTTGTTGCAACCTGCAAGAAGCCAGAGATCAACCGCTTCGGTCAGGTGATTGAGAAGAAGCTTCCCGATACGGACGACGTCTTTGAGGAGCTCTTCAAGAGAGAAGAATTTGAGACAAACGAGTGAGCCTTGCCCTTTTGCATATCTCGTTTGCCAGCCTCTTCGTCTCTGTCACTTGTCTTCCACTTGTTCTGAAAGCAGTTGGCACCAAACACTCGTATCTTCACTTTGTTTGAACCACATTGCTTGAACTACAACTACAGGGGGCAATAGCAGGTGGTCCGCTCGTGTCCGGAGGCGGCTTCAACATACTCAATATTCAATCCTGTTCTGTAGCCTGTTCTCTGCATCTGCTGCGGATCTTGTAGTAGGCTCACTGTTGTGTCCGTCCGCTTGACGGAGGCCTCCTTTGCTTTGGGTGCCCATGTATGTCTCCCCCCTGTTCCCTCCCCTTATGATTCTCCAAAGAGCATCTTGCAGCAGATATAAACGTTGAAGGACAACGTTCAAGCTGCTTATGGAGATTCATACTCTTTTCCACAGGGCCGGACTCAACTGCCTCATCCTCGACTTTGCCACTCTGCTCACGCACGACCTGTTCAACTCGCACAACGGCTACAACGGAAACTCATCGTATGCGGATCTCTCCCCCCTGTACGGGCATGACGAACACACTGTGCGCCGTGTGAGGGTGTTCAAGAGGGGCCTCCTCGACCTCAAGAAGGTAAGCTGTTTGCTTCCTGATCGCTGTCAGAATCTTAGAGTCTGCACTTTGACCTCCTGACAACCAGTCACAAACTTTGGACGAGCAAGGAAAATCAACCTGGCACACGCAGTTTCTCAGTGATCTCTTCTAGGGTCGAGTCGTCGCGCTTATTGCAGAGGTCTCCTTAGAAGCGGAGTTGTTTTCCATAAAAGAACTGGCTGTCAATCATGCTCCCTCAAATGGCACGGGTCGCAGGTACGCTCGCACAAGCGAGCTCTAAAAGCTGATAAGGCCCGGCAAACGTTGTGCTTTTCCACAATCTTCCGACCACGACATACACACCTTATGGACGTTGTTTGTTGCCATGCTGTATTGCAGGTTCCCCACTCCCGGGGTGCCAGTGTCGAAGAGAGCAAACTGAAAGAGTTCAAAGAAGGGGTCATAAGAAAATTGAAAACGCAAGAGAAGAACGAACAATCCCCAGGAGTAACGGAAGCGCAACCCAAGCAGCCCGGTTGCATCCAACATGGGGAGGGTAAGAAGAGCGCTGGCGATTCCGGTCTGCAAGCGATGGAAGCAGAAGATATCGGAAACCTGGTGAAAGTGGCGGAGGAATGGAACTGGGATTGGGGCTTCGTGGGTTGGAGGGCCCTGGTTGAGGTGTTTGGCAGGGAGCACAACCAAGTGGCAAAGAAGCTGCTGAAATGGTGGGTTAACTAAACTCGCTAATCCATGCGCCTCACCGCTTTTACTGCAGGGAGACAGTTGCAATTCACAATTTCTGCGCATGATTGGTGGGAGAGAATGAGGATGACGAAGCTCTGCGGCTATTCCTGAGGACGAGAAAGCTTGGCGGGTGAACTTCTGGCTTTTGAGACGGGGCCATTGTGACGCCCGCTTCCTTGCGAAAAGAAAGGACGCAATGAAGGTGGTTTACACTCAGCACGTAAAGCATTCACCGCCGATCCTTCATTGGGCTGTTTTTGGTGGAATCAATCTTGGAAACAGTAGCGTCGATTGCTGCTTGCTGAGACAGGTATCTGAATAAAGTGGACTTTCATGCGAAGATGAATCTTCTTTCGGCTGGGAACGATGCACTCGAGGAATATGATCAGGAGGATTTGCCCGATCTAGTGATGACCGACTTTTCTAACCAGCAACACTGCCTCTCCTAGAGGAGCAACTACCTGACAATCCTTTTCCATGAGTCACAAAGCTTGAAACCTGAACCTCCCCCAACTCGTGTCCAGCATTGTGGGAAGTCTCAAGAGTATACTTTTCGTGCAGGTACCCTGACAAGTTCAGCCACAAATTCGGGACACCCAACAAGCAGGAGGCGCTGGGCGCCAAGTATGACACTGACGGCTTCCCGCAGGACAATCCCAAGCTGAAGGGCCGCTGGATCAACGACGAGTTGCTGTACCAGACGGCCCGCTACATCACCACGCGCATCTACGGCAACATCGTGGTCACAGATTACGCATCCAACTTCCTAGGTTAGTGTTTCGGGATATCAATATCTTCCCGTCTCTGGGTGCCACATGCCTGGAGTTTAGAGAGACGAGGAGGCATTCGGCCTTGCAGACTGCCTTGCTTTTGTCACTCACAAAGCGAACCGGAACACTCTGTGGCAGCTGGTCACTCACTCTTCAAACGTACGGTGTGTTTCCCGTTGCTCACTCCGTCCGGTCTCGAAGCGTGCCGGATGATATTTTCATTGAAATTGTCCTCCCCAAAGTAGCAGTGCCTCATTTGGTCTGTAAGTCTTGTGTGCTTCTTTTGGTTTCCGGAGCAGCTTAAGAGCTGTTCGCCATAGCGTCCCAACTGTCTGATCAAATCCACTTTCCGGTCCTGAACCTCTCGTGCTCGCCATGCTCCGCTCACGGCCTCACAAATAAAGGAGCGAGCGCTTTTGTCACGCTGAAAAGGACCCATGCCCTCTGTGTTAAGCAAGCCCCCCTCCTGAGAGAAGTCTTTCGACGTCAATCAAGGGCTGAAACAGCCGAACCACTTTGTCCCTCTGAAGCAAGCCCCCTCTTGAAACGTTCGTCAACATTCTGACAGGGCTGAAGGAGCTGAACGACTTCTTCGTGGGGCGCCCCGAGAAGCTGGGCAACAGCTGCTCGTACGAGTTTGGGCTGCTGTACCACTGGCACTGCCTGCTGCCGGACGAGACGATCAATGCGGCGGAGCCGAGAGGCGTGCCCTCCAACGAAAACGACCCGAGGAGGGGCCCCCTGCCCGGGGACTACTATGATCAGCTGAACGAGACCATGGATGAAGGCTACAAGAAAAAGTTTGGCGCCCTGATGGAGCACCAGGTGAGTGATATAAAGAAAAGTAGTCATGCATCCTAGTGCCGTTCGTGTTTGGTGTGAGCTTCCAATGCGCGGCTGAATGCCGAGCGAAAGCTTTCTGCGGACGGCGTTCGGATCGGTGAAGCCGTGAAGCCCTAGCAGCCCCTTTGTATCACGTGCGAGTCTGTTTGGTGATTCGAAGCCGCCTTCATAGTAAGTGCGATGCAAGCGCAGACTTAGGCTCTTGTCATAGTTTGGGTTTGCAAGAAGAGCTATCTACTAGGGTCGAATGCGGAACTTGAAGGGAAGTGCAGGGCAGCTTGGCTGCTTGAGTAGTGCCAGCGGGATAGGGAGGGGGGCCTGTACGCACTCAGAACATGCTTTAGCTTTGAAACTCGCCCGAGAGAAAACCTACGGTTTTCGAATCACTGGTTCTTTGTCAACAAGGTCCCTTAACCTCTGAATGTGGATCCCTTTTGAAAAGAAGCGGAAAAACAGCAACATGCCCACTGAAACTTTGCCTGCCTTTCTCGACAGGAGAAGAAGATCGTGAAGGAAGTGCCGATCGCAGAAGACGCACTCAAGGGCGAGAAGGACAAATGGAAGAAGGTGTCTCTGGCGGTTGACCACCTGCCAGAGACAGAGCTGAAGCTGGACGATCTGCTGCTGTCGCGGTATAAGACACCAATCGGCAGGTTCGGTGCCTTCCACACGCCCAAGTATATGAAGGAGGTGAGAATTCCGGTTTGCAATCCCCGTTTTTCAACGCGTATCGTGATTAGGCAGGGTCAGTAGGGCATTGTCTGAATACGGAAGTGGTAAGATTCCATTTTTTGTAGTTACATCGCTCTTGCGAACGTACTGGAAAGGGACGCTTTATCATCTTGGAAACTCACGGGCAACTGATCAGGGACTTTGAGAAGCGCTTGCATAATCTCCCATCATCCCGTCCTGGACCAATCCGGGGGATCTGAGCATCGACTTTGAAGCATGCACCTGGATGCTCCGAAATGGTCAGCTATCCACGACGGTGGATAGTTGAGGAAAGTCAGAGACTGAGTACAAGTCAAACGAGCCAGACAAGCCCGACTTTTGGCTACGCAGTGTCTTTTAACGAGTAGGAACAAGAAGCTCAGATCCTGCTCTGATCCTTCAAAGACGTGCGCTCTCTAGTCGTTCTTTCCTGGTCCAACCCGATTGAGTTTCCCCATGGTACTGACGTCATAGGAACGCATGGTACCTGCGGGTTTGAAGTTTCAAGAGGGCGTCAAACCACGTAATCCCACGGCGGTACCTCGAGCAGTAGATCCTGCTCTGGTGTTGCCAATATTGTTTTCACGTGGTTTATCCCTTACCAACTCGAAAGAATAGTATGCGGGGCAATCGATCGCTGCAGCGGACGTGTCTCACGACTCTTTCTTTAAGCAGATCGGACCCTCTGAATGCAGGCCGAGAAGCGGACAATGAAGAAGGCGCGCGAGCAGAACGTCGGCACCTACAACGACTTCCGCGCCCACCTGGGCCTCATGCGCTGCGCAACGTACGAGGAGATCAACCCAGACCAAAAAGTGAGCTCCTCTGCCACGATTTGTTCCAATGATCCACTGCTTTTGACGTGGAAGGATCGGCGTCATTGTCGAAGCGTTCGTTGCTCAGTCCGGCCGGAAAATGGTCCTTGCTATGGATAGCTGGCGAAAGGAGCTTAGTTCTTCATCTTCCAGTAAACACATGCACGCTTTGCCTGTCTATCCTATTTTTCTATCTGTATGCCGCTTCAGTAACCGCTCATTGGAATTCCAGCTAGTCGACCAAGCCCCCACCCCCTGAAAACCTGCTTCTGCTGCATCGTCAGGAAACTGCACAGATCTACTGGTAAAGGCCACCTCCAGCTCTCTTATAACCCCTCCCCAACCCGCCGACCGTCGCCGAATCCCCTTGTGCCAGGTGGCAGGCGCCCTGCGCAAGCTGTACGGGACCGACTCAAAGGGCAACGACAATGCGGACCATGTGGAGCTGTACCCGGGGGTTTTCGCCGAGCGCTCGGGCCGCAAGGGCATCAAGTTCGGCAACATCCTCTCGATCGGGCTCCTGGAGGTGAGCTTTCGTGCTGCCTTGCATCTGCCCTTTCCCTCAGTCTAGTTCCTCTGTGACTGCAGTCGGAAGAAAGGAGCACCTCTTTCCAAGAAAATGGCTCTCGTCCTGTCCGAGGAATGTCTTTTTAGGAGAGATCAAATCTGTGCAGCAGTCTGCTACATTTCCGCAGTACCTACCAAGTCTTTGTGCCGCGACCGCCTTCGCAGCACGTGTACGAAAGCGTTGAGGTGGCCCAAGTTGCCGATACGCCGGTCCTGTCAATCAGGGGCTTCTTTCAAGCAGGACACAGCAGCGACAGCAGAATCAAGAGAATGTACTCGCTTTGGATTCGGCCGCTCTGCATGGCATCCGCAAAACGGATCACTTTGCGGCCAGTTGTCGCACTACTCAGCGAATTGACGGAGCAGTCAACTCCTCAGACGCGTCCTCTTTTGCAAACGTCAACAGAACGGTCACTAGGGTCTTTTATCCGGTTGTGAACCCTTGCTTTTTGACACGGTGCTCACTTTGCTTGGATGCCAATCCCCTTGAGTTGCCGTACCGTAGTGATTTTCTTGGGGACGCTGCCGCCTGGATTGTCTCTGGATCAATCCAGACCACCTTACCTCAGTCCACTGTGCAACTGTTTGATCCGTCCAAATTATACCGTGCCCAGCTTTCATATCCCACCACGCCCCGCTTCCGAAAAACTAAGATCCTAGAACCTTAAAACCCTAAAAGCTCAAACCCCCGCAGGACGCCCTGAACCTGATTCGCAACGACCGCCTGTTCGTCGACTTCGACGCCGGAACGGCCACGGCAAAGGGCTACTACTACGCCGTCACCTCCCACTTCGCTGACGTCATCGAGCGCAACACGAACCTGAAGCTGGTGAAGGAGGTGGATGGAAAACCGGTGGACTACAAGACGAAGTACACGGACCCGAAAAACTGGCTTCACTGGCGGCTGGCCAGTGCGTCGCTGCTGACAGTGCCGGACAAGAAGAGCGAGGGTGCCGAGAAACCGGGTTTCCAGGGCACGGGTGAGAGTCCTAGAAACCACTTGATCAAGAAAGATGTCTCCTTTTTGGAGGTATCTCTTCTAGACGTGAATCGAAGGAGGTTGCAGTAGCATTTGCAGCTCCAGTAATCGTCGGACGAGAAGGGCACGGGTGAGAGCGCTCGCACTTTGTTCATCAGCAGTTCAGAAAAAGCACACGAGAGCATTTAAGGCACGTTGCTGACAGGTGCCAGACTCTGTGCGAGCACGGAAGCAAACCGGGGGCTCAGCTTGTTTGCGAAGATGTCACAGGGACATCAAGAGGAGAAGCAATATTTTTGAGCGCTGTGGGAGAATCAGATTAAAGAGTTGTATCTGGCTCTCTGGCACTGTTATCAGGAAAACACGTCTTTTGGAAGCCAAGGTCAAGGCACCAGTGTTTGGCACAACAGCGTTGCAGTTTTTAAACAAATCGCTATGTCTCAAAACTGCCGACGAGTTTCTCTTCAGCAATTTTATCGCCTGATGATGAAGTAAGGGATCTGCTACCAAGCCGTCTGATGGCCCTGATGTTGCTGTTTTTGAGTAGCCTTGTCTCATCCTCACCGGAATTGGTTCTTCGACGGACCGGACTGAACTCCGCTGCTCTCTTTTGGAACTGCATTTGAGTGAGAGGAAGCGGCTGCGAGGCTGAGTAAACTTTTGACACAGCAGCGGCGCTCTCACTTGAACCTGTGAGTTGCATAGCATGCTGTTTCGACAGCGTCCCGACCTGCGCTTTGGCTGACATTTCCATGTCCCCCGTTCCGTGCTGCAGTGAGAAAGGAAATCTTCAAGGGCACCAATTGTGCACCCGGGATACTGGCCAAGTACTCGGCCCCGAAGCCGGCCCCGAAGCCCACCGTTTTTATTCCCCCTGGCAATGTGAGTTACCCTCCCTTCATTCTACTCTCATGACTTATGTGACCCTCCTTCATCCTATTTCCGTGAATGAAGGTGAACCCCGCTCTATGTTATTTCCGTGGCTTTGGTTGACCCTTCTCGATTCTTTCCGTAAATGTAAGTGACCCCCTCGCCATTGTTCCTTCATGAATGTAACTAGCCATTCTTCCGTGAATCTAAGGAACCCTTTCTTCAGGTGGCTTACTCGGCAATCTCTTGCAAACAGCGAGAAAGCAATGCTTGGGCCACTGAAAATAGCGTCGGCGCTGTGGACTTGGGCCCTGCCATCTACTTTCGTTCCACCTACTTTTGACGCACGTACTTGGAATTGCCCGCATCAACCTTTCGTGCAAGAGCACCCGCAATATACAAGGAAGAGGTTGCAACCAGGCGAACAGTATTCAACCCATAACTCCCTTTCGGATGTGGTCTGCCGTTCCCTCGAGCAACAATCAGGTAAAAGCAGCCCCAGGTGATCTCTCTGAAATCATTGCCTTAAACCCTCGTAACACAGTGTGCAACAGGTACTAACGTTGTTTTGTGGCACTTTCACAGACCTCCAAGTTGCCCGCCGGCTCTCCAACATCTCACTTCGAAGGGGCTCTAGCGGAGACTCCAGGCGCGAAGGATTACTAGCTCGTCAAGCAGATCATCTCAAAGTGGTCCAGTTTGCCTAACTACGTAGTTGATGCATGTGTGTTTTTATTTACGAGTCTAACGGCTAAGCCGTAGCAAGCCCCGTTGGGCAATCCAACGAAAGGGGCAACCATGGCATTAGCGTTGCTTGGTGACTTCCTCGGTGTTTGACGATTTTAGAAACAAAGAAGGTGAGTCACCTTCATAGGACAGATGATTAGGCACGTTCTGAAATGTAACCGACTTCATTGGTTTCTGTATATTTACTACATAACACATCAGTGTCAAAGTGGTGAAAGGCCCTAGAAGGAAGTGCTGGTCTTGGGGCCTTTCTTTAGGATAGTATGTCTCGTTTACCTGAAGCGGCCGCCTAAGGCCACAGACGGATATACCAGTAGTACGTTTGTGCAGTCGAGCCACTCAAGGATTCCAGGCCGTAAGACGGTCACTACACAGTACGCCCACTGCAAACTTCAATGCAATTGACAATTTCACATATGGATGTTTTGTGAGCTGGCAAACATAGCATCACCATATATTCCGTTACGCACCCGACTGCAATAGTGCCAGACAAGCCGGCGGCATGCCATGCATTAGCAGTTTGCATTGTATTGTAGGCATCTGGCAAACCATCAATGTACTGCACTGGGCCATCATTGACTGCATGAGCTAGCTCGACTCGCGAGGAGCGGCAATTCAATCATAGTGCTTTCGAAATGCGCGGCAAGCGTTATGGTTGTGAGCAACATATCTTGAAATGCAAATTCGCGAAATGAAGGCCATCCGGCACCAGGCAATGTCAGTGATATAAAATGAGCAAAATCTGCAGCCGCGTCAGCTAGTATTTGGCGATGGCTTGATTGCATGCAATATATATACGGCCATGATGACGTCTGGTGTGATTGAATGGCCGGTAGCGATTCCTAAGCTCATGCATGAGTTCTTGACCGCGGAAATATTCATCATGATCGGATCGATGCTCCAATCACGCAGTGCATGACGGAATTGTCTATGCTCAACTTGCGCATGTGAAAGCTAATGCGATCCACCGAACTTATATATAGTGCGAATTAACATACTAATACAAATAAGTACAAATTGATCGATGATTGAGGACGTGCAGTACGTACAGGCGCCGCTCCAATTACTGAGAATCTTGTAAAGAGCCGGTATCAGTCAGCTCCTAAGCTAGGTCGGATTGCATGTACTTGTCGTGATTAATCAGATAGCTAGTCGTCGGATAAGCAGTTCTCTCAAGTCAATCATCCAGCCGCCAAGAGAAAGTCTATTTAGTCCTGCCCAGACTTGTGACAGGGAGCGTGGCCGATTCATCGACATCATGATTGCATACTCAATAACCGTGCGCACCATCCGGCGATCGCGTTTAGAGAGTTGCATGTGGATCGACCCGCTCGGCGAGTCATCTTGCGTCGGCGTGATACTGGGCATCTGGGCGACTGATTGCATCGGCCCCTTCGATAACGATATCTGATCTGAGACAAAATGCAATCGCACATCATGCAATCGCACATCAACAAGTGGTTCAACTGATGATGGATCATCCTCCATGAGAAATCCATTCAGTTTGACTGTCACGGGATAATTAAGCGTCATAGCTGTGGTCAGAGAGGAACGAGGATGTTTCACATTGCACATGCTGTTGGGCAACAAGCTGATCACCAACATTGAAACAGCCCCGCCTGCTGAATTGCTAAACAGTCGGCGTGAATCTTTTCAACTCGCGTTCTTGCATGCAGCAAACATGTCTTCGAAGGATTTCAACGGGGCGTCCGGGCTTTCAATCACCTCAACAACCTTCTTGGATGCATTCTTTGAAACAAGGGCTTCCACTGCTACCAACGCAACCTGCGGCAAGCAACGGCAAAATCCTTTTGATTAGCTTCTAGACGGTCTGCAGTACATCAACTCCTGTGCTTCATTTGACAAAGCCGCATCGGGCCGCATCAGAGTAAGCTGACATTGTAGGGATACGATCACTTGAGATGAGATTCAGGGTGACGCACAAAATGAGCAACAGCAGACCTTTTTCGTGTTTTCTTGGTCAGGATTCCTAGTCACAGGTTCGCTTCTTCTGTGTGAAGCACTTTTCCTCTCTTCGATGGTCGACATCCTGACGCATTGTGGCCCGGGTAAGCATCCTTGTTCTTCATCGAGCTTTTGTTTCTGGTGAGGCTTTGAAGACCGGAAAGCAAAGCGGCAGCCTCATGGCACAAACTTCAAAGATCCGACGAGTGCCTTCTTTGCATTCCAGCAACCAGCCCCACACTCTCTTGGACAAGCATCAGGGTAGTAATGCTCGCAGCATTGCCGCGTTTCGAAGCAGCTTGCGAAGAGGTGGTGCTTACCAGGTCTCTAGAGATCCGTCCGCCGAAGAGGGTGTCTTCCGACCCCATGACAACGGAACCTGCGGGGGGCTCATTCGACAACCCGCCTGGCCGCACAACCGTGTAGTCAACTCCCGCCTTCTTGATGTGCTCTTCCGCTTTCAACTTGGCGAACTACAGAAGAGACGAGAGAAGCAGTCGCTCAAGTTGGTCACACAGTCTCGGGCGTAAGAACATGTTTACTCGAGGTCCTTAAGCAGCGGGACGAGGAACTACTGCAGAGAGGAGGTGCTGAGTGAAAGGCGTCTCGAACCTGATAGCATGCTGTAAGAGGAAAGGCGTACAGTAACTGGCGAAAACTGTGGGAATGTTCCGTGTCAGTGACTCCGAGTTAAAGGGTCTCGGGTGGTCGATAGTGTACTGTCAAATGTCGATGCCTGACATATATTTGGTCTTGAAACTCGAGACGCTTCGAAATCCTTTGACTTTTCCGTGTGGGAAACAGCTCCTTCTCGAGAGTCAAACAGACGACCGAAGACCAAGCTCACCACGAACCGATGGAATCCGAAATCAATGAAAACGGTTGATCGACAGTCAGAAAATTATACGCCGTCCCTGCTTCTCGCAACACACGAAATCGTTGGATATCGCAACTGTCACTGTGTCGAGCGCCACCACTCACCAGAACGCCGCCTCCGATTATGTTCAGAACTAGGTACGCGGGGTTGAAGAACTGGCCAATCGCAGCGCCGTTCGTCAGAATAGAGCTGACCAACACGAACTTCTTGACGCCCTTCTTCTTGGCGGCATCAACGGCCTTCTGAGTACCTGGAATCCAAAAAGGAGCGAGCTTCAGCGCGTGTTTCGCCTGGGGCGCAATTTCTGCAACATTCGATGGCTCGTCTGTGTTCCAGAAGGTCTGTTGTTCAGAGAGTGTGAGGACCTCTAATGCGGAGCTGGGGTTGAAAGGATGGGCGCGAGCGATGTTTCATTGCTTGATACGGGGTTATCATTGGGAATGATTTGTGTGACATAACTTCGAGGTGGCCTCGGGGAGCTGTCCTGCTTTTGAAAACCTCTTTCATAACGAGCGAGTCGGCAGGAAGCTTTTCGATTGTCTCCCCCAGTCCTGGTACTCGGAACACCCTTACATTGATGCATCAAGTTGGTCGCAGACCACCAGCTTTTTCGAACACTCGATCTTATGGTCTGACTGGCAGGCTCATTTAAAGTCCCATACCCGCATTCTCAGAAACCTCGCCCCCCCCGCGGTTTACTCAAGGGCTGTCTCATTATTGTCTCCGGTCCTGCCAAAGGACCAGCGACGCTCACCGTGCGCAGTCAACTGCGAAGAGTAGAGCTGTAGACTCTGATGAGTCAACCTTTTTGCCCAAGCAATGCACTCATGCGTCCACTCAGATACCGGCTGTTGGTGACCTGACGACTCCAGCTCCAATACTTCTCACCTAGATTGTCTACAGCCCAAGAATCGGCTGGATTCAGGCTGGCCTTTCCGGTGGCGACTATCACAGCCTCAGCGTCACCAATCGCCTGCGCAATAACAGACTCCGGCTCTGTGACATCCGTCTTTACGAAGGACAGACCGTCCGCAGCCCCAAGCTTGGCCTGGGCAGGAAGAAAGGCAGATGACAGCTTAGTTGCGAGGTAGAGACTGGGGGTAAGCTGGCTGTCAATGCGAAGCACCGTGACTCCATCGAAGCAGTCATGAGAACTATCAGCCCTGCTCCATTCAATACTTGCAACAATTGACAAAGTGACTTGAGCGTCCCAACAGTGCAGTAACAGTTCCCCCAAGACTTTTGAGGGGCGTCATGCTCTCAAGGTGAAGATGATGTCACTGTTCCCCCCAAGCTTGACCGTGAAGCATCTGTAGTGGAGGCAAGAATGTGGATTTCTTCATGTATACGCTCCTTGGGAAAAGCATAATGCAGCCCCCCCAAGCATTGATGCTTTCCCCACGTTTGTATTCATTACCAGATTGCAGACAGAAAACTTGCGTAAAACCACACAAAGTTTAGTCAACACATTCCCCCACCTTGCCCTTCTCAACGTCCCGCACCCCCGCCTTCACCTTGTAGCCCCGCTTGAGCAACTCCCTGACAATTCTGCCCCCGGTGGCACCCCCAGCTCCTATAACCAGGACAGATGCGGGAGGCTGGACTAGACTCTCTGCACTAGCTGCTGCCGCTGCAGCTGCTGGCTTCTCTGCATTTCCTGCCGCTGCGGCGATCAGGATTCCAGTCCCTCCCAAAACCAATTGCCGTCTTGGAATCTGCATCCCTTTCCCCTTCGGTGGAACCTTCTCAATGTCTGCTCGAAGAGGAGCTTCAGTGCTGGAGGAGAGGGATAGTAATTGGTCACCGAACAGAAACGAAGAGGGATTATACAGTTTTGCATGCAGACGTTTTCGTAGGGGAGTGAGAAGTGCTGACAGATTGTGGACTCGAGCTGGCTGTAGGGGAACCTGGAGCTGTGGGAGTGCTGCAAAGCGGGCTTGGCAAGCACAAGCAACCGCACCGGCAGCCATGCTTGCACGGAGCGCTTCCAAGCTGTGCAAAGTGCACTTGAGGTCAAATGCGCAATGCCACCATTTTGGTACGAAGGAGTCGGAAGGAGTCCGAAGGACACAGCGAAAGGAATATTCTGATATATTCATTATTTTGTTTTCAGTATATCCCTTCAATATTTCTATTCTAAGCCGAGCGGTGGAGACTCAAGAGGCCTTGCGACGAGACAGGTCAGCTTCACAAGCCCTTGAGCGCCCCCTCAGCAAACCAAATGAAGTTCGGTGTTAAATTTGGGCCAATCACATCGCGCCACGTCGTACCCCCCTAGACTCAAGAAAGTGAAGGTGTCCGGAACGGGGTCGAAACTTGGAAGTCGGCGCCCAAGTAGTCCCAACCCGATCACCGGGCACTCGGAAGCGATGCCAGTGTACTCCTAAGTAGGTTACCTTCTCCTCCGAAAATACAAGTACAATGTTGCAGCTTTTGCGGGTATGGCCTTACTTACATACATATTGGCAATTTGATCCGAGAAGGAAAACTCTGTACTACTAATCTGTTATATTCTCTCCTCCAAAAAGTCAATTACAATATTGCATCTTTTCTCAGGTATGGCCTTACATATATACATATCGCCAAATGAGAGCCGAAGGGAAAACTCTCTACTACTAATCTGTTATATTCTCTTCTCCAAAAGATCAAGTACAATATTGCATCTTTTTCAGGTATGGCCTTACATAGATACATATCGCCAAATGAGAACCGAAGGGAAAACTCTGTACTGCTAATCTGTCAGAATTCCTTCCCGGAGAAGAAAAAAAACTATAACAGATTGTAGTACGAGAGTTTGGAACCCTTCGGGAGCTTGCTAATATGTATGTATGTAAGGTCCCTTTTTGGAGGCAAGATTGGTGCGAGGGCGCCCCGCCTATACCAAGGTCGCCCCTCACCTTCCCCCTAAGTGCTTGCCGGATTTTGGAAGTGCTACTCTTGAAAATGAGGGCCGACAACCCCCAGAAATGCCTTTTATATTGATCTGACGGTGGCGACTTTGGGCGCATCTGGCAGAAATTGACTATATGATGCCATTAGGTGTCATCGGCGCACTACCGGATTGTGCGGCACACTGCAGCCCAAGCCGGCCGCATTATCCGCAGCGAAGTTGCACTGTGCGTTGGGGTTCGGGTGGGTTCGGTGCGGTGCGGTGAGCCGCGGTGCCGACCAGTGCGAGCGGCGCCACGTGTGCAATGTGCACCAATCGGTGCGGTGCGGTGCAGTGCGGTGCGGTGAGGTGCTGTGCGTACTGGCGCCACGTGTGCAGTGTGCACCGATCGGTGCGGTGCGGTGTGTATCCAAGATTCGCCAGCCAAATATTGTCCGGTTTGGCAGGTATAAGCCGTGACCAGGACGAGAGGGTCACCTGTCCAAACCGTTTTTCCTGTCCTACTGTCGATTCATGCGGTCAATCACAAAAATCACCATATATCGGGTGGGATGGTCAAACATAAGCGGGGACTTGGACACAAGATTCACCTGTCCCTCCTGTCCTCCTGTCGACTCGCTCTGTTCGTAAATGATTCGAACATTCTACATGATATGGGTCAGATTGAGGTCCGTCCTGTCTGAATCAGTGAATGACAGATTGGAGGTGAAGTGCTTGAGCATGAAGGCGGAGGACCGGACACGGGAACCACTGTCTGCCCTGTCTCTCCTGTCGTCCTGCTAAGTACGGGTCCCAACACCTGTCTTGTCTACGAGTCTTCTGACATTCGAGGACCATCTTCAGGCGCAAGCAATCTCTGCGTCTGCGAGTTTCTTTTGCGCATCAGTTCTCTTGACAGGACAGCACTTTCCTATCTCTTTGCCGAATGTCCCTTCTCTGATGCTACCTCGCTCAAGAAGCCTACTGGAGTTCAGAGACCCCTAACATGGGTACTGTGGAGGCTGTTGAGTTGGAAATCGCCAGGGTGAATGCAGCCATTGAAGCTCTTGAGCCTAAGATCGAGAAAGCAGAGGGAAAGGCCGAGGCTGCAGAGAACGCTGGCAATACGGAGGCTGTGCAACGGTGGTTCACTGAGCTGCAGCAGCTGCGGGAGAACAAGAACAAGCTGCTGGACAAGGAGATTGAAGCAGCTGCGGGATGAGAAGGCCCGGCTGCAATCCGCAGGTGCGTCTCTCTTCTTGTCAAAGCATGTTGACTATCTTGTGCACAGGCCTTGAAACATTGTGCAAAGCCGCAGGCAGGTGCGTCTGCTCAGAGCACCTTCGTTAGGGTTTGTTTCCATCAGTGTGGGTCAGAAAGGAGCGGCTCCAGCCACCACCCTTGTGTGTGACGCTCGCTGTAATTGTGGGAGTTGAAGGTAGCACAAGAATTCTTGAAGCAATGGGGCAGCATACATCGAGATTCTCACTGACCTGTGTAATAAGCTTCTGAGCATGCCTGCGATTGAGCAGAGTGCTGGAGCTTTCTGGTTCGGGGTAGACGTCGTGATTTGCACAATTCCAATCAGAGGTTTCTCGTTCTTCAGGACGACGAGCTTTCTGATGTCAAACTTGCGCAATAGCGTTCGTGTTTTGCCTGCAAGTTGGCAGAGTGCTGGAGCTTTTTGCTTGTCGGTAGACGTCAACCACATGAACTCTCGAGTCTGTTTGGAGTGTCTTCCTCTGCTTCTTGGTTTGTTTCTATGGTGTGTAAGTTGTTCGGCAGGAGGATTTGCGGAAAAGTTTGTCTGATCAGCACATTGCTCATCATGTCCACTCCTTGGTGTCAGATGCTCAGACAACCATAGGAAGGAAAGAGATCATGACAGGCTATAACATTTGCTATTGTTGCGCATGTTGTAGCTTATCACTTCAAGAAGGCAGACCACAGCAGATGTTGACCGCACTGTCAATTTAGCCTAAGGCAGGTCAAAGGGCCCCTACAATCTTTGCTCTTTGCAGGCATGCCACACGTGGCACCCTCTTGAAACAAGCA